ATCTAAAAAAGAATCCATTTTAACTTATAAATTTTCTTAATAATTAATCTACATTTTGGGATTAACTTTTAATGTCTTATGAGAAAGGTGGATTTCTGTCATACTGCTAGAGCCGTATCGAACTAATAATACTATAAAAATAAATCAAAGGCTAGTTGTCCTTTTGGAGAAAATTATTCTAGATTTTGCCAATTATTAAAATAATACATTTTTGTAAGAAAATTTAAAAAATTTGCTAGAGCACTTGAATATTATAACATTTTGCTTAATATAAATTGCTAAATTCTAACTATCTTTCTTCTGTGCTTTCTATAAAAGGATGATACTTCCAAAGATGTTGAAAGGCCGAAATATATGTTGAAAATTAAAAGGAGCTTCACTCTCCCTGGCTTCAGTCCATCCTCCCTACAACTGCTAGAATAATTTTCCTTAGACAATAGAAAGAATAGAAAGTGCCTCTATTTCTTTTACATCACCCATCACTGCACACACATTTTTATGCAAACAAAACATGTTTCTAGTGAGTGACATTGACAAATAATAACATTCTAAATAGATATTTGATCAAGATGAGAGTTAGGATATGTGTAGAATTGAATGTACTAACTCAGATGATTTTGAAGCCATCAGCAATGTTACCTTAACTTCTCATTGAGGAGCTACCCTGTATCTCAATTAACATTCTGTTACAGAACAATCTGAAGTTTATAATGTTAGAGTTTAACTTTGCTGGGGGAAAACAAAACAAAACATCATCCCACTGAGATGTTAAAGCAGATTTCATTTGGTATAGTTCCTACACAAAGGAATTCTATTTCCTATAATTTATTAATTAATACCTATGAAAATGTAAATTAACAGTTATATCCAGGTTAGCACTTCAAAAAAAGAAATAGGAAAGTTAGACATGGGCTTTGGTGGTTTTACTTCATTGGAACTTCTCCCAAGTTTGCCTCATTAAAATATCTTCTTAAAGGGCTTTTCGGATTTAGGAGAAAATTCAAATGAAGAGGTATATTTTATTTTTCATTGTGGTATTTCCACTTTAAAAGATTAAAATGTATTGCACCATGATCCGAGATAATATTTTGTAAGACTGGCAAGCATGACATTTATTTTATTTATTTTTTTTTTAATTTTTTTTTAACGTTTATTTATTTTTTTGGGACACAGAGAGACAGAGCATGAACGGGGGAGGGGCAGAGAGAGAGGGAGACACAGAATCGGAAACAGGCTCCAGGCTCTGAACCATCAGCCCAGAGCCTGACGCGGGGCTCGAACTCACGGACCGCGAGATCGTGACCTGGCTGAAGTCGGACGCTTAACTGACTGCGCCACCCAGGCGCCCCAAGCATGACATTTAAATTAACCCATCTGATTATATTATTATAAGGTTGACTTTCCATTTTTAAAGATATAAAAAATGTGTGTGCATAACGTATATTTATTTCTCACAATATACTTGACGGTTACTTTCTGACCTTTAACTCTCTCACTTGCAATTAATTAAGATTCTTTTCTTTCAAACTCAAGAAACTCTGACTTAACAAATTGATTGGAGAGATACTGGGTTACTCACATCAAAGTGAGTAGAACATGATCTACAATGTGTTGTAAAACATGACCAATTCTAAGGTGCCAGGTAATGACCACAGCCGCCCCAGGACTATGCTGGCTTAAAGTTCAAATTCCAGCAATGGAGTGTCCACATAGCCTGGTTCGGATCACATGGTTGCCTCTTACCTAGGAGAGGGCAGGGCACTTTATGTCAAACCGGTTCCGGTGGGGGAAAGATAACTCTCCTAAAGGATACTGAGGTGCTATTCCGACAAACAAACAAACAAACAAAGATGGAGTGGGCATTTGGAAACCAAGAAACAAACAAGTCTCCCAAGTTCATTTTTCTTTTACTTCAGCATTGCGGGATCTGCCTGCAAAGTAATCTCTGAATAGAGGGGGTCTCGTTCTTATTCTTGCCCTCTGTGTGTGTGTCTGTGGTTGACTAATGTGGGTCATCATCCTTTGGCTGTAGATATGAGAGAGGGAAGCCGTGAGGTTCCCCCATGGATGTGCAAATGAAATCACCAGTCCATCTAAGCACACCCCTGCCAGTCAAGAGCAGACTCAGGAAAATCAGTTAATAAGATGGATTCTCCCAGCAAATTAATTCTCAGTAATAAGCACACGAGGAAGCCCTAAGGGTTGGGTTTAGTTTACCAAACAGTATTTCCTGAGTCTCATAAATTGCGCTCTTCCTTCTGTTGTTGGAATGGAATAAAGTCAAAGGAGAATAGAGAGGAATTATTTTAACTTTCCGTGCAGTACACAAATTAGTGAGACTCACATGCTCCCATGAACATTAAAAGTCCCCTCGTATTAGTCAGCAGTTACTGGCAAATTATTTGGTTCTAGATCTCAACATTATCACTTCCTGCAGGATTTAGGATAGAGTTTGTCAGTATTCTTGGCAATATATTATGCACACAGGGATTTGAGGCAAAATGGAAAAAAAAATTAGCTTTATTATGCAAAATTTCCCATTGAATAAATCTACCCAGACATAAATGGAGAAACTAGAGGTCTAAACTGTTGCCTGTAAGGTACAGAGGTAGAGGCAGGGTGTGTGTGTGTGTGTGTGTGTGTGTGTGTGTGTGTGTGTGTGTTATATGTGGGTGTGTGCATAGTGCGTGCTGGTAGAAGTCTCCTTTTCTATAGAATCACAAATGGAGTCCCCCAGAACACCTTTCTTCCTTGGACCAAAGACTGATGAGCACGAAGAGGTAGATAGGTAAAATGGTGATGAAGCAAGAGAAAATATTTCTAAAATTATTAAAAGTAGGGATTATAGAAAATATTTTCCTTTCTTTCAAGCTGTATAATTGGAGATTAAGCAATTTTGAGGCAGGGAAGGAAGACCATAGTGTAGCTGCAACAGCAACGCAAATGATTCTGTATCACCTTCGGATCTAATATTATTGGGGTCCCTGGGAAGATGGGTAGAAAAGTGGCAAAAAGGAAAAGGGGGCAAAGGGGCTCTCAAATTGAGGAGAATAAAAGCTGCTAAATGACTCTGCCTCTCCCCACCCCCAAATACGTATTCAACCAAAAATAGTGCACAGAGGCAAAAGCAGTGTGAGATGTTTTGTGCTGCCTAGACATTTTTGAAAATAAGCCTGTATTCATATAATAATTGTTGTACTCACTTAAGCAGTATATATACTAAGATTAGAATGATACAGAGAAGGACAGCCTGGGTGGCTCAGTCAATTGAGCATCTGATTTCAGATCAGGTCATGATTTTGCAGTTCTTGGGTTCCAGCCCTACAAAGGGCTCTGTGCTAACAGCTCAGAGCCTGCAGCCTGCTTCAGATTCTGTGTCTCCCTCTCTCTCCCCTTCCCCGCTTGCTCTGTCTCTTTCTGTCTCTCAAAAAAAGGAATAAACATTGAAAAAATTAATTAAAAAATACTGTTAAATTGAATTATTGAGTTGGGAGGTCATAGGTCTTTTAGATTTGATTTCACTAGTGACTGAGCTATGTTATGGGGCACATGGATAGCTCAGTTGGTTAAGCGTCTGACTTTTGATTTCAGCTCAGGTCATAATCTCACAGTTCGTGAGACTGAGCCCTGGGTTGGGCTCTGCACTGACAATGTGGAACCTGCCTGGGATTCTCTTTCTCCCTCTTTTGCTGCCCTTCCCTGCTCTCAAAATAAACAAACATTAAAAAATGTATTGATACATGAAAGCAACCATTCAGGCCCATACTTGTACCATGTAATGCACTTTATTTTATTTTAATGTTTATTTATTTTTGACAGAGAGAGACTGGGAGAGACAGAGTGGGGGTACACAGAGAAAGAGGGAGACACAGAATCTGAAGCAGGCTCCAGACTCTGAGCTGTCAGCACAGAGTCCAGCATGGGGCTCAAACCCATGAACTGTGAGAGCGTGACCTGAGCCGAAGTCAGATACTTACCTATTGAGCCCCCAGGTGCCCCTCATGTCACTTTAACATTAAGTGTATATTTTTCTTTTCCCATGTAGTTGCCTAAATGAGATACTTCTCGTATTTATTTATTTATTTATTTATTTATTTATTTTTGAGAGAGAGAGAGAGAGAGAGAGCAAGCAGGAGAGGGGCCGAGACAGAGGGAGACAGAATCCCAAGCAGGCTCCACAGTCAGCACATAGCCCGAAAGGGGTTTGAACCCACGAACCGTGAGATCATGACCTGAGCCAAAACCAAGAGTTGGATGCTCAACCAACTGAGCCCCCCAGGCACCCCAAAATGAGATATTTCTCTTCACTCCAGGGGTAACTTACTAAATTCTATACAATATACAGTATTTTCCTTATTAAAATACTTTGTCCTAACAAGTATGTTCTTGTAATGCAATTTTGTGAAAACCCGAAAGAACTATAAAAACAAGGAGAACTTGCTGGGGTAACCTAGAAAACAGAATTACAGCGTGCACAGAACTGGGTGGCCCTGGCCCACAATTTTGAATCCTGGCTCGGCCATTTCCTTGCCTTGAGACTTTGCAGAAATGACTGAATCTCTCTGTGCCCTAGATTAATTATTTGTAACAAGGCAGTAATTATACCTCTCTTGCTGGGTGATGGAGCTCAGTAAATAAACTAAAGAAAATCATGTGGAACTCTGCCCATAATTAATAATATTAGCAAGTTAGTCTGAAATGTCCTTTTTGTTGAAAAGAAAATGAGGTAAAACTCTATGCTAGTAGCAACAGAGGCTGGCCTAACTCCCAGACCTAACCAGACCCCAAGGAAGGTTTTCTTTTGACTTCACATCACAATCAGGACAAAGTGAATGTGATACCTTCAAGATCAAATTCTCCACGATCATCAAAAACTTAAAATGTGCCCTAGTTGTACATTTCCTAGATAAAAGAGACTGTGTGGTAGGACTTCTTCCCCTCAGCTATTCCTCACACAATTTCCACAAATTGTGCTGTGATAATGAAGCAAATGCCACAGCTGAGGATGACCTTTATTATGGGCTGAGACAGAAGTCCCCAAACAAACGATTTGGGGAGAAGGACCCAGGAGGGACTGGCTGGCTCTCAGGCCATGGCCAAGGCTGTAGACATCTGTCTTCTTGGAAACGCAGGTGTATTCAGAGCAAGGGGTCCCCTTCTCACATTTGCAGTCACCCGCTGGGAATTCAAATTAAATTAGGTCTCACTTAAATTGGAGTTTTTCCCATTACATTAGCATCGGTGCCATCTTGCCAATGTTTGCCAATTTGCTAATTAATAATAGGAAGACTTCAGTGATAGTAATGGGATGGTTAAGTCTTGTTTTATTGCTGTTGGATTGACTTAGAATGAGTCCATCAAAGGGTACTTCTTGTATGTGTGTTCCGTTCTTATTCTGACAGGCACATCTCAGTTGGTAAACTTAATCCACCACTCAAAGTTGTTACTGCAATGACTTTTCCACTAATCCGAGGAAACAGAAATTTAAAAAAAAAAATGTGTTTCCATGAAACTGACTTATAAACTCCATTGTTTTCCTGATTCACTTATGCTGAAGTATTGCTCAAGAATGGTTTGTCTCTTTAATAAGGAGCAGCGAAAACAAAAACAAAGCTTCAGAGAATTAACGTAAGAGAAGGAGAGTTCTTTCTCAGGAATTGTGGTTTGAGTAGCTGGACTCAGGCTGAAAGTAGTTAACTTTCTAAAGCTCTTTCACTTCTCCATTACACGAAGTTTCAAGTATATTCAGAAACTGAAAAAGAAAAGCATCTGAGCTGGAATTAAGTAGTATAACTTCGGGAAGTCGGAGCTAGATAGTTTCGGCAGTATCTTGGATTGTTTTATGTGACTTCAGGTTCAGCAGATGCTCCCGGTTTTCTTTAGATACGTCTAGGATCACAGATACCTGTGGATCTCACGCTCCTGTTATACATCTCACAAAGAGGATCTCCGGTTGGTCGTAGCAAAACCCTTATTAAATGGATGAACGGAATACTTTTAAATCTGCTTAGTCTTTAGACATCTGTCATGCCACTGTACAATTTAATTGCCACACAATTAGGATACATTCATTTTCCATTTTAATAGGTTCGAGAAGTCACACATGTTTTTCATCAATAGTTACTCAAATCCACAGGAAGAAAAAACAGATTTAACTACAAATCCACGTATCTCCGAACTACTACTGGACGTGTATATGAACACAGCCAATACCATCATCATCACAGTAGGGTTTTCTTTCATAATCTAGTCCACCTAGAAATGAAGTAGGCTCACAATTTCCCATCATCTTAAAGGAATGATCTGTTTAAAGAACAGTTTCAAGTTTATATGTTATTCAGATTGAACCATTCATTGAGTTTCAGGAAGTATATACACCTCTTCAGTCCTATTGACAAGTTCACTGAGGCCAACAAGGATGAACACAGTATCTAATCAAACAGGGTAAAGAACCAAGCCCCTATACAACTAACGGGAGCAATGTTACAAATTTACCCCTGTAGATGCTTTTCCCCCAGGGAATACATATTTCAATCAACATATAACACCACTGCACCAAAAGTGGAGTCGCTGAAATTGGGAAATCACCTCTGTAAAATCTGAAGCGATATGCTGAAGAGAGTTTCAAAGAATGGCGCATAATCTGTCTGCTCAATCTCATGCCGAGGAAACTGGAAGTTGTGTTTGGTTGTGTCACACTGGCTTCTCAGACTTGATCAGGATCTTAGCCGTCACAAGTCTTCCTCTATCCATGCCACAGGGAGACACTGCCGGGCACCAATAATGGAGTAGATGGTACGCAGTTGTGCAGACGCAAGCCACGGGAAAAAGAGAAATGAGGGCCCTCGGCCAAGCTCTCCCTCCGCCCGTACGCTCTGCACGTGTGTGTGCTTCTACTGATTGACTTTCTTTTCTGAGGAGAAGCCTATGAAAAACAGCAGGAAAATGTTTCAGATTAAAAACTGAAAATTCATTTCTTTTCTTCTGGCTTAACGCTAACATAAACATTGAGGCTGGCCGGAAAAAAAAAAAAAAAAAGGGAGAGATTTTATTCATGAGTTCCCATCAGTTTACACCGAGAAATCAAGGGGTGGGAAATGGAGGGCTATTATTTTAAGCACTGACATATGCTTACCACTTTGTGAAATCAGCTGTGGCCCCGTTCTACTCACGCCTGAAGAGGAATAGTCGGTACTACTTCGTATCCTTGCTGGCATTTTGGTGGCTCAGGCATTTGCTTGTGAAAGTAAGTCATATATGATACTATGGGGTTCAGTGCGTAGCCCACAGAATGACAGCTGTCACCTAAACTACTTTAAGTGTGGTAAAGGGTATGTTATTGTCAAAGCAATAGAAAAGATCACAGTTCTTAAGATGTGTTAATGGCCCATGAAGACCAATATGAAAAACACGGCATATTTTAGTACGACTACAGGAAAGCACTATAGGGAAGACAAAATCAAAGATCTCCTCATGGCAACAGAAAAAATATTTGTAACTTTTAAAATATAAAAAAATAAATAAAATATATACAATTATATAAATTTCAGGAAATAAGGTGTTTTCCTATTCATGATAACAATTTTGAATATATTGAATGTTTTATTTTTGCTGGCCTGCATTTGGTATTTCAAATAAACAAACGTTTAAATGGACTCACTAACAGTTTCCTTTCCAGGTTAAAAAAATATTCTTCTAAGCATGGCGGCCATTACATTAAAAAGGTATCCAATATGTTAAGAACATAAATTTGGACCCAGAAGCATAGTCCACAGGTCTAAAACAATCTAAAGTTTAGATTTAATACATTAATGATATCTTAAACATTAAGAAAAATTAATTCTTCTGTAGTTTTTACAGCACTCTTGTGAAATAGGTACAGAGGCAAGGGTCATTATCTCCATGTTTTAGATGGAGAGAGGTTGTGACCCACGAGATGATCCATGGCAGAATGGAAATCTGAACAAAAGCAAAAACAGGTCTTCAGGTCCTTGAAGAGAAGGCAGAGTGTCCCCATATAGTGAATGTGGAAGAGACATCTGTCATCAGACTTGGCTCCACAGTTCTGATGGCAGGGCAAGAGAAATGCCACAAGGGAATCATGGGTTCTCACAGTGCTAGACACAGTCTGCTTTGCCTTATTGGTTGGTAAAGTATTCTACTCACTAATGTGTGGCTTATTATCTATTAATGGTATGTGTTACACTCCATGCTTTTATGTTCACAAGAGTGCATGTTAAATAGCATGATGCTGAAGTGATCTGAATAGAACCCAGAGATCTTGGTGGCAGAGGCCATGTCTGACTCTACATCAAGGATTAGCTGAATCTGAAGTCCCCTGAGAGGAGAGGGTGCACCAGTGCAGCAGAAAGGTTAAAAGGATTGAGGGGACTTTGCTTTCTCTTTCTCTCTTTCTCTCTCTTTTGAAGACACAAAACTTAATTTAATGGAAATTTTGTAGCTCTTACATTCTCAGTGCGAACTGAGCTGTAACCCACTGCCCCATGCAGAAGTGGGCCAGTCTTGGGAGCAGGGAGGAAGGGAGATGGTGGGTAGTGGTCAGAGCTCAGGCCCTAGGAGCCCTGTTCTTCCTCACTGCTGAGGGTTAGGGATGCCACCCTCTTCCCCTGTCCCCCTCTGGGATCCAGGAAGGAGAGCAGATGGAATCTTGGGCCTGGGACCTCTCCCCCACACTCCCCTGTCCCCTCAGGTTGGAGGGGAACTAAGGAATCTGGGGAGAGAAGGGGACAGAGAAGGCAAAGATATCAATCAAGAAAGAGGAGGATCATGCCCACTCACCTCTTAGAATGTGGGTGCTTACACATCAACAGTAAGGAAACCTAGGGAAGTAAACATTCTTCCCAGTTGAGACGCAATATGAAATATAAACCCCGCTTCCCTATAGAATTTTATCTTCCATTTAGGAGGTATATTGCAATACCTAGTGGAATTGTGACTAGTCTAGCCTTATTGTGTGCATTTTTCTCATCTAGGTTCTATCTACCTACCTATATCTATATATAATGTTAACTAGAATGTTTAGTCTTTGCTTATAAATCAGTGTCTGCATAGGAATATATTTACCACCTGCATTTTCATATGTTCCTGTACATATAAATATACATTTACACTTTATTTAATATTCCCTTAGCAAAATCACTTAGTTTACCAATAAGCTGAACTTTATAGCATTATAAGGTGAGGACACCTTATAATTTCTCCTGCAATTCTTCTCTGAAACTCCAGAAATGAAATAGGCATAAAACTATCTGTCTCTAATTGATTAATACTCTTTATTAACTCCTGGTAAGATAATTATGAAAGTAATATATTTAAAATTTTTTTTCACATTTATTCGTTTTTGAGAGAGGAAGAGAGAGAGAGAGAGAGAGAGAGAGAGCGCGCGCGCGCGAGCATGGGTGGGGGAGGGGCAGAGAGAGAGGGAGACACAGAATCTGAAGCAGGCTCCAGGCTCTGAGCTGTCAGCACAGAGCCCGATGTGGGGCTCGAACTCACCAGCCATGAGATCACGACCTGAGCTGAAGTCAGACACTTAACTGACTGAACCACCCAGGTACCCCAAGTAAGTAATGTATTTTATAACAGAAAAATATTCTTAATATTTTACCCATCTGTAGTGAAAACCACCCAATGTAGCCTCTAACTTTCTTCTGTTTCTTACATCTCTTAAGTAGCTTTTACTGTTTACACTGGTTCCTGTATCTCCTCATATCACCAGGTACTAAAAAAAGTCCAACTAATCCAGCCGTCTTACCAATGTAAAATTACCAGTAATGGTTAGATACAAAGACAGTTATAAAAAGACACAAAATGAGAAAGATTCTGGCTTTCAGCACAGGGCCTTAGAATTTATTTAAATAGGGGTGCCTGGGTAGCTCAGTCGGTTAAGCTTAGGTCTTGATCTCAGGTTCATGAGTTCAAGTGCTGTGCTGGGCTCCCTGATGATAGCACGAAGCCTGCTTGGGATTCTCTCTCTCTCCCTCTTTCTCTGACTCTACTCTGCTTGCCTGTGCATGCATGTCTGCTCTATTTCTCAATAAATAAATAAATATTTAAAAAATGAATTTATTTAAATAAAATATATGAAAACGACAACACTACTATATTTTAATGTATAGCCAGGGGTTGTCCATATTGCTCAGTGGTTACAATGTGGGCTTTGGAGCTGGACTGCTCGGGCTTGTCTATGTTGTAGGCAATAGCCAGCTATGTGGATTTGGACAAGTGACATTACGTCTCTGGTCCTCAGTTTCCACAATTATAAAACAGGAGCAACAGTGGTACTCATTTCATAGGGTTGCTATAAGGTTTTGAGCAATCCTGTGCCAGACACAGGATTAGTGATATGGGTTGAATTGTGTCCCCCCAAAAGATATGTGTAAGTCTTAACCCCTGGTACCTGTGAATGTCACCTTTTTTGGAAACTGGATTTTTCATACAGAATCAGGTTAATATGACATTATACTGGATTAGCCTAATCCAACAGGACTGGAGTCCTTACAAGAAGATGAAAATTTGGACACAGACAGATAAGAGGGAAGACAGCCATGTGAAGAGCAAGGCAGAGATTGGTGTTCTGCTACCACGAGCCAAGTACATTCTGGGGCTACTAGAAGCAGGAAAAGGCAAGAAAAGAGCCTGCCCTAGAGGATCTGGAGGGGGCATGACCCCAACACTGGGATTTCAGACTTCTAGCCTCCAGAGTGTGAGAGTATAAATTTCTGCCATTTTTAAGCCACCTAGTTCTTACTCCTTGGTTATGGTAGCCCTAGGAAACGAATTCAGTAAGTGTTCAGTTAATGAGTTATTATTAGACGTTAGTAAAGGCCAATTATAATAGTTGGACTTTGATCTTCTGTATTGTAAAGAAATAATTATGTTTTCTCACAACACAATCCCACATGCCTACATTTCATGTCTTTCCAAATATGTAAGAATTGAGCTCTAGCTCATTAGGCAAAGTTCAACTCTGCACCATATGAAAAATTTGGAAGGTACAGAAGTGACTGGCAGGCAAAATAGTTAGAAAACATAGCCTTTTTGACATTTCACAAGGAAGAAACAAAACAAGTTTTCAAAGTTATACTAACTCAACTATGTCATAATTGTTCTAGAAACATGGAAGTCATTTTGCATCCCATTCTGATAACAGATGAAATGAAATTAAAATGTTCTCTGTAAAATCACATTTAAAAAAATTTTTTTTTAACATTTATTTATTTTTGAGAGACAGAGAGAGACAGAGCATGAGCAGGGGAGGGGCAGAGAGAGAAGGAGACACAGAATATGAAGCAGGCTCCAGGCTCCAAGCTGTCGGCACAGAGCCTGATGAGGGGCTTGAACTCACAAACTGCGAGATCATGACCTGAGCCAAAGTCGGACGCTTAACCGACTGAGCCACCCAGGCACCCCCGTAAAATCATGTTTCTAAACAGAAACTGTAACCCCTTAACATCTGTGTACTTCAATATATTAAAATGCTATATTAAAATCTAGTGCTATGAAGAGAGAAAGCCAAGCAAGTCTTAAATGTCTTGAAAACCTTTATTTAAATCTTTAGTTTTTGAAAAAAGAATTTTCTTTTTGTGTGTGTGCATTCTTTTTTTTTTTTTTTTTTTGAGAGAGAGAGAGAGTGTGCATGTGCAAGTTGGAGAGAGGGGCAGAAGGAGGGAGAGAGAATCCTAAGCAGGCTCCACACTCAGCACAGAGCCTGATGCAGGGCTCAATCCCGTGACCCTGGAATCATGACCTGAAATCAAGAGTCGGGTGTTCAACTGACTGAGCCACCCAGGTACCCCAGAAGACTTAATTTTGAATGCATCCCCAAAGCATTCTAAAATAACCAGAGACAGTAACTGAGAGCAAAGATGGAAATTAGTTTACTCAAAGACTGTTCAATAGACTAATCCTTGGCCAGGGAGTCCTTCATTAGGTCTACACTTATAGAGGGCCCTGCTGTGGTCCTCCTCTAGCCATCTCTCTCCCACGCCTGAGTCTGCTTTCTTCTAGAACAAGCTGTTGGTACCCACATGCAGATCCCCAAATTTCCTGCCCAACCGACCCTATTTCTGCTTCTAGGCCTCATGTGGTCCTCTTTCCCAAACCTGAAGTCAAGGGGTGATGTTGTAGCATAATGAGGGGTATATGGATGAAGCTGGGATGTGCAAATGGGCTGTACTCAAATTCACACTCAAGACCCCTCCCACTGGAAAGGTGGGAAGAGAAGGGGATGGGCCATGGCTCAGGTGTTCCTGTGCCACTGTTTCCTGGAACAGAACTGGTTGGAATATGAGCATTTTAAATTTCACTCTGCCATTCCAGGTATATTTATCAGTAGGAGGATAGACTATAATAGCTTCTACGCTTGATTCATGACACTTAAATATTTAACATGAAGTATGCAGCTCTCCATGTATTCTTGCCTCAGGCCCTGGGAATGTTAAAGGAGGATCTAGTGGTGTCAGAGCAATTTAATCACTCATTACCCACTGTACCTTTGAGAAATCACAAGGCTACTGCTCTACAAACACTTCATGCATAGACATCAGAGCCGCTATTTCAGGTTAGATGATCTTAAGAGGAATAATTATAAGGATCAAAATATAATGTGCTATATATATTGCGGTAAAAAAGTAAATTTGTCAGGAGTCACAGGAAATTAATAAAAAACTGAGAACTAGGGCAATGTACAAAGCACACATACAAATTAGTATTAATTTAAATACCATATTTCTGAAAGGATCATTTTCATTTAAATACAAGTAAATTACTTACATAGTTATTATATGAATAGAATTTATATGAGTTTTAAAAATACTTTCTGGGGTGCCTGGGTGGCTCAGTCGGGTTGAGTGTCCGACTTCGGCTCAGGTCATGATCTCACAGTTTGTGAGTTTGAGGCCCGCATCAGGCTCTGTGCTGACAGCTCGGAGCCTGGAGCCTGCAGCCTGCTTCTGATTCTGTGTCTCCCTCTCTCTCTGCCCTTCCCCCGCTCATGCTCTGTCTGTCTCTCTCCCTCTCAAAAATAAATAAACATTAAAAAAATACTTTCTGTTTATAATTTATCAGAAACAGAACCTGATTTTCCACTCATTTCTCCTTCCATTGTTTGATTGTTGGTATTTATAGCCCAAAAAATAGGGTATATTGGCTAGCAGTATATTCCTGAATAGTGAAAGATAAACATATTAGCCATATGGTAAGACAATGAGTACTATTATTTAAAAAATCTGTATAATAAAAAGATTTCTAAACTCATATTTAATAATACCACAAAGCTACTTTTAAGGATTTTGAGCAACTGGGAGCACCTGGGTGGCTCAGCTGGTTGAGTGTCTGACTCTTGATTTCGTCTCAGGCCACAATCTCATGGTTTGTGGGATCAAGCCCCTCATTGGGCTCTGTGCCGAAAACTTGGGATTCTCTTTCTCCCTCTCTTTCTGCTGCCCCTCCCCAACTTGTGTGCACATGGTCTCCCTTTCTCTCTCTCTCTCTCTCTCAAAATAAATACATAAACATTTGAAAAAAGGAATCCTAGGGGCACCCGGGTGTCTTAATTGGTTAAGCATACAACTCTTGGTTTTGGCTCAGGTCAGGATCTCACGGTTTGTGAGTCTGAGTCCTTGCATCAGGCTCTGCAATGACAGTGCAGATCCTGCTTGGGATTTTCTCTCTCTCTCTCTCTCTCTCTCTCTCTGCCCCTCCCCTCCTTGTGCTCTCTCTCTCTCTCTCTCAAAATAAATAAATAATATTTTAAAAAAAGGAACTCTGAGAAATTGGGTTGGACTTACAAATCAAAAGGAGCTTTCCAATTAAATGAAAGAAAAAATAAGAAGAATCACCACTGGAATTAAATAATGGCACATGAGATGTTTTTGTTCTTGTTTTTGTTTTTTGACAAGAGCGATTCCAGAGTTTTTGCCAATTTTTATGACCTGGCTTGAACTTTAAAATAGCATTAGCTTTGGAAGCTAGAAGAGGAGCAACAGAAATCAAAAACAGGTAGATTTCTGAGTAGGGAATTTCTTTCTATGGCCTGGCCCATGATCAGGCCTCTTCTCTGCTACAGAGAAGCCACAGTTAGCTGCAGAGCTGTGTTGGTATGGAGAAAGAAAGGTTTCAAATGGCAACACATCCCATCAGTTTCTACCAGGGCTGCCCAAGCATGAACTCGTTGATAGCATTTATTATGTATTTAACCTTGCATTGTACTGTGTGTTTTATCTATGATATGCAAAATATCAAATGAGTAGCACAAATAACGTATGTTACAAGTTCATAGGAAGAAAAGACTATTCATGGTTAGATTCTGGTCATATAATTATCCAAGTTAAAGCCCCATTCTCACTTTATATCAATCATTTTAGAAAATTTTAATATAGTGAGAGGGGGGTTTTCAAGAGAACGATAGGATGTGATTCAAAGATAGGTTTTAAAGTTCTATACATTTGGAATCTCATCTCAGGGCTAATTTTTACCAACTGCGTGATTTAGGCATGCTACTTAAATTCTCTAAGCCTCAGTTTCCTAATCTGTAAAATGGCATAATAACAAAACCTATTTTATGGCATATTGTGAAGATTTAAACAACATTTTAAAAATACTCAGGTTGCTACATAACAGAGGTTTTTTTTTTCTTATTATAGTTTTAAATCTATAGACTGTCACACAACATATTACACACCACAAATTTCATTATGTTTCTTCCCAAGTAGACAAAAATCTGTGGGTCTTGCACACTGACTATAATATTCTATTTTTGCATAATTTTATTTAGTTTCTGAAGGTCATGACAATTCATTTCTATTTTACATAATTATTAGGTTCTATTATATTAGTACAAGAAGAATCTAGTAGTGATATATATATGGCTTTATGATGTTACTGAATTCTCTATGCATAATTGTATTTTCTAGTGATTAAACTCCACCTCAGAGAGAAGATATCTTTAATATTCATTCTGGACCAATATAATATGAAGTGGAAAATTATAATTGGGTGGCAGTTCAGCTATTATACAACAATGGATTTCAAAAACACAGACATTATACAACAATCATTATGGTTAATAGTATGCCATTCTAATAAAAGCTCTCTGTTATGGCTGGAACCCAAGAACTTCATTAAAGCCAAGGGCTATATTCATAGTAAAAAGAAAAGAAAAACAAAGACCCACAGTTTTCTGATAAATAACTAGACATTTTATTATACAGCTCTCACTTTTTACCTTTTTTTTTTTTTTTAAGCCTTCTGTAAGCTATGGCATTTGCCATTCCTAGTGCTGCTGGGTACAGATGTCCAGGTTGTATAAAGCACAACTCTTTGTTGTAGGGGGCTACATTTGCATAGACTACTATGAAGAACTCTTTGGACTGTGAAGTATACAACCTGGAAGACTACATGTTATCCCTAGCTTTCTATTTCCACTCCATAATGGGCTCCTTATACTAAAAACCAGAATTCTATGATCTCAGATCTGAACTAAATGAGATCAAGTTTCAAGTATGACCTGAAATTGGAATATGGCTCATCTTCAGCTTTTGTGGATAGATTAAAATCTCTGGAAATTAACAACATAGAGTCACAAGTGTGTGTCACAGGAGATTTTTAAGCATGTAGCAGGCATGGCTGACTTTTTGACGATATGTGATGAAAACAGAGGTAAGATTATGGTTATAGCACAGTTTATACAGCCCATTCCTAGATGGCCTCCTGAGACCATAGAAATAAGTAGTAGAAAGTATGGCAGATTCTGGAAAGAAGAGGAGAATGGTAAACCAAAGAAAAGTAAGATAAAAGAGTAGTTAGTTGTGAGTACTTTCTAGGTGCCTTTTTAGGTTTTTTCCAGTGTACTTAGAGGTGGGTGTTGTGGGCTACCTTGGCCTAAACTTGGAGTCTGACATTTAGTCACTAGGGAACACAGTTCTGAGTCTTTGTTTCCTCTGTCTGTCTGCCAGTGACATTTAAAACATCTGTCTAGCAAACTCAACCTGGAAGAGTGGATGTGCATCTGCCCTTTGTAGTGGAATCACAGAGCTTTGTTGTTGTTGTTACAGTATAGCTCTACTTGAAGTTTTCATTTCTAACCCCAGATGGGATACTGACTCTGAGACTGGAATGGGAACAGAAGCCAGGACTGAGATTCATGCATTTCTGCATTTGAACATTTTCTTTTTCTGAAGGAGTTCAATTTAACCCCAGGTGCATCAAATTAGAGTTGTGTATGCAACACAACTTTAGAGAAGGCCCTCCCTGAGTACGAATGAATGTATGTTGAGTAAACATCCCGAAAAGACCCCATTAAAATGTAAACATGAAAGAATGCTCAATACAGCTGTGGTCTTACCATTTGCCTTGTGCTGCACATCTGGCGGAAACTGGTCAGGAGCATACCACTGATAGTCTGGCTGTGTAGAACAATACAACATTATAGCAATATGGACTTCAAACAAAACATAGAGGTGCATTAAAAATATAATTATACTATGTGGCTTTTATTATGCAGGCAATACAAAAGGAATTTTTGTCCAAACCTGTTGCCAATCACGCTCATCTCTCTTACCTCCGTCATCACTATTACGATCTCCCAACCCCCCTCTAAATCCACACTGTGCACTGTGCTGGCCAGAATTTCTCGTACTTTGGGGTTGTGTCATGGTGTTTTTTGTTTTTTTGTTTTTTGGTTTTTGTTTTTTTTTTTTTTTTTGAAGCAGATGTGTTTTGGATATCTGCAGAAGTATAAACACTTCTGTAAAACTTACTACAGCCCATAAACAAAACAAAGCAGTTTATCATCAATAAATACTATGTTTAAATCCTTCACACAGGAGGCAAAAGAAAGACCGAGAAAACAATTACAAGCTCAACGTTTTCTGATACAAGGAAGAAATCTAAGCCGTTAACTGCGGACATGGCTTGTAGAGGCTCAGGATGGTGAAGCAGGGCAGATCTTTCTCTTTGTAGTGTTCCTCCGCGGAAACTCTTCTCTAAATCACTCAGGTGGTTTAGACTAGAGAGGCAGTGAGAGAAAAGGGCAGACTTGGATTTGCCCTGGGGGATTTTCTTCTAGGTTTCACCAGTTAAGAACATCTAGATATTGAATATCAAGGAACATGTCAAACAAACTGCATTGAATAAATCATGAGCTATAGACCTGCATTTCAAGATTCAGTTCTAAGATGAGAGTCTCTGTGTTGAGCCACTTGGAACACAGCAATCTCAGGTTCACCTGCCCCTGAGGATGGTCTGTCTTCCTGCTGCCAATGCTCACCCCTGCCCCCTTCCTCCCCCAAGACACGGAGAATACAGACCTTTTGTTCTATTATTCAATTACCTCCAGAAAATAACTCCGGGAAATTTTCTCTAACAATGAGCCAACAGGGAGCATTTACAGGGCTGCCAGACCACTGAAAGTAGCCTTAAAGTTCAATTATCTGACAAGACACTAAGAAATGCTGCATTTAGTACAGTCTGACCCCACTTTACCCCCACTCAGACACCTAGACTCTTGGCTCCTTTTGGTCCACGAAAAAGCTAAAAGAGGAAATGAGATCACCTCTGTTTTTTATCTCCTCGTTTATTTTTAGATGTCTCAAATAACACGTAGGATAAGTGACGTGAGCCTCAGTTTTATATTCCAGGAGAGTTGCCAAAAGAAGGCAAATATACTGTAATTTTACAAACACTATCGCTTGTGTTTTAATTCAGGCTTAGAAATAAGCATAGAACACTAAATATTCTTTTTAAATGAACCCTGGGAGTTAAATTCTATTGTTATAGCAAGATTGTGTTTAACTGAATACTGTTTAACTGAATACAAGCCATTATATACATGACTCAGAATCTTTTTTCAAATACAGACCTTTATTTCGTGATAATTTTACAAGGTCTGGACCACTCCTCTTATAACTGATCAGGAAAGTTTGATGAGCTTTTAGACTAGGTGAATTTCTGCCTTCTTTCCATAAATGAATATTTGAAGACAATAGTCATTTTTACTTCTAGATGAGCTTGCCTGACTCATTGGCTTTATAAGTTAACCTTTCACAAGAATAATTCTACAATTTCCCAACCTGTAGGAGATAACTCCAAAGTACATTTCTGTCACTTTCTGTTTCCCCCAATATTAATTTACTTCTACATTATGAAAGCAAATTTAGGGAATTATACCTATGTTTGGGAATTCCAAGGAATGTTTCTGGTGAAGACTGAAAAGTAAGCAAGCAGGTAAAGAAAAAAGGATATGGGGGTGGGTCACAGAAGTGACATGGGGCAACAACACAAAATGAAACAAATTCTCAGCAGTGTGCTGTGTCACACCGGGGTCAACTAAAGGATGCTCATTAAATTCTGACATCCTTCTGCCACCCGAAGAGTCATTACCTCCTCCCTTGGGAAAAGAGCTTTGAGTTACACTCAAATACAAAACTATGGCAATCAAAAGAATCATGCTCTCCATACATGTTCTGCTAGGAAAATCCCAGGTAAAGGGATTCTCAAGATTCTTTGCATAATTAAAAACACAGCTAATAAAAACTAAGGAGGAGGGGAGTTGTCTGAACATTTCCAAAATGCAAAAAAATGTATGTTTTTTCCGGTATAAAGATTCTGTCTATGTAGCCAAAACACAAATTAGAGATGCATGCAGACCATGGGGGAGGGTGGGTGGAATACCGCTATGGAGAAAGGAAAGAAGGGTGCTTTGGTTCTGACTTATTCAGGTTGACTGTCCAAATCAATTCCACTCACAAATAATTGCTCCACTATTCGTTTCATTTTGCCTGGGTAGACACAGTCACAGAGAGCAACTTAAGTGGGTCACTTTTTCTTGGATGCTTTAGGAATATCCTTTTAATTGGAAAATGTCAAAAACTCTGTGGCACAAATGTAGCAATGTCCACAGTAGTTCAACATAAGTTTATAACTGAAAAAGGCATCTCTCAGACTTGCTATATTCACTTTGCTTTTCTTTATAGACAAAAATGTCCTCTTGGAAGAGTCAGGCATTTCATTTAAAAGGACCCGTATAAAATGTTATATGTTCGTTCAAAGAATTACAGCTTAACTTGATACATTTCAGTTAATTCATTCATATCTATGTGTGGTCTGTGGGCCCAGTGTCCCCAGAAGATGATTATAGTGTAATTGACCACTGTAACTGTAACATAGAGGCTGGGATTAAAAGAGGCTCTTTCTGTGGAGAATATTACATGCTCAGATTACAGAGACAGACATGATTTCTTTTTTTTTTTTTTAATGTTTATTTATTTTTGAGAGAGACAGGGCATGAGCGGGGGAGGGCAGAGAGAGAGAGAGAGGGAGACACAGAATCCAAAACAGGCTCCAGGCTCTGAGCTGTCAGCACAGAGCCTGATGTGGGGCTCGAACTCACAAACCGTGAGATCATGACCTGAGCTGAAGTCGGACACTCAACCGACTGAGCCACCCCGGCACCCCTGAGACAGACATAATTTTTACCAAAAAAAAAAAAACAAAAAACAAAAAAACAAAAAAAACAAACAAAAAAAAAACCCCCAGCACTTATTAGATAATATAAGCACTTATATGTTGAAATGCAAGCTGTTACTTACTGGGTGCTTATGTAGATCTTGTGCAGTCCCAGGGTCTGCCAGTGTGCATGGATCCCACAGATGGAAATTCAAGCCACAGTTACAGATTGGGAAATACATCTGAGGAGGATAATATTGTCCGTTCACTGGAAGTGGGTAGAACTGGGGAGCCACATTGACACTTCACTGATACTTGCTTCATACAACCACAGGTTTGGCTTAAAACTTAAGGTTTAGTCTAACTCTTGCATAATCCTAACTCGACAGAGTAGATGTATCAATGTAGACTCTGGACTGATATAGATAAGGCTCGTGGGTCAAATTTCACTTAGGGTGAAACTCTAATTAGCTTTTCATTTTGAAGAAGTTGGAAACACTTGAAAAGAATTGAGTTAACATGATGTTTTTGAGTTATCTTCAGAGAGGATCCTTGCTTAAGAAGAATCAGCCAGTAAGCCATAAAACAAGTGTTCTTAAATTGTAGCCAGAGATTCCTACAGCATAACTAAAGTCCAGAGAGGAAATCAAGAATTAAGAGAAGAAATATTCATTCCTGAAGGCTACTAGAGAACCAATGGGACAGAATGCTTCAGTGCCCAAGAAGATACTGTATTTTCTCAAAAAAAAAGGCACAAATAATTGATTTAATTTTTGAAATGTAAATTGTGTAGGCAATTGCAAAAAATACCAAGGAAATATATTTCCCAGGTGTTTGTGGGTCTGTGACGAGATCTCCTTAGTGTGAACACACACTAAGGCTTGTGCTACTGCTAACACGTTCTGAAAAGCATGTGTTTTTCATGCACATTAGGGTTGAGAAACTTTGGATGTGCCTAAGCATTATGTGTCCACTGACATTTTAGTTGATAAGGAAAAGCAGGGGTGTTCTGGGCCATCTTTAGCAGAGCTTGAATATGTCTTTAATTGGAACCATGAAGAACTGCTGTGCTTGGAAATACATGCGGGGGTGGAACATAAGGTTGCCATTTCAACTATGACAAGAAGATTGTTGAATTCAGGTCAGGAGCAACATACCTGTTTTAACTGCTTTTCGAGTTTTTCTTTCTCCATCTGACAAGCTTTTATCTATGGACAAAACAAAGACATCTGTTTGTGAAAGAGTTCACATGGTTTGTTCTAAAGTTACTCTTTACCATCTTTTTTAACGTTTACTTATTTACTTTGAAAGAGAGAGAGAAAGAGCGCATGCAAGAGAGAGGGGGAGAGAGAGAGAGAGAGAGAGAGAGAGAGAGGCGGGAGGGGGGCGCGTAGAGAAAATTCCAAGCATGCTCCACACTCAGCATGAAACCCGACACAGGGCTTGATCCCATGCACCGTGAGATCATGACCTGAGATGAAATCAAGAGTCAGACACTTAACAGACTGAGCCACCAAGGTGCCCCCTAAAGTTACTCTTGCCTGACCCAGCCGTCAATGACCTGCTCAGATGCTCAAGGGGTGAAGCACTGATAGCAGCAATGCCAACGGTGAAAACAGTCAAGTTTTGGATTTTCTAGAAGTGTACTGGGTCTATCTTGAAATTCCCAAATGAAGTTTTGGAAAGTTGAATACAGTTTTAAACTCTTCTCCCTATTTGTTGAAAGTATTGTAAGTCTAAGTTTTAGGCTGATATACTGGGATATAGATATAAATATCTAGAGACATAGGAATAGATACAGATACAGAAACAGCTTCCACTGCCAATTGAATGTACTGGAACTGGTCAGCTGTACACTCAAAAGCGTCCATCATAAACGTTAGAAGTTGTACACGTACTTAATCCATGCCAGGCACTGATCTAAGTGCTTTCCATATAGTAACTCACCATATCCTCCCAGTGCCTCTGTGTGATACTTAAATATTATTTTTTTTTTTAATTTTTTTTTTCAACGTTTATTTATTTTTGCGACAGAGAGAGACAGAGCATGAACGGGGGAGGGGCAGAGAGAGAGGGAGACACAGAATCGGAAACAGGCTCCAGGCTCTGAGCCATCAGCCCAGAGCCTGACGCGGGGCTCGAACTCAAGGACCGCGAGATCGTGACCTGGCTGAAGTCGGACGCTTAACAGACTGCGCCACCCAGGCGCCCCGATACTTAAATATTATTATCACTACTTTGCAGATGAGGACGCTGAGACATGAGATGTTGAGTAACTTGTTCAGAGTCACACTACTGTACTTTCTGGCTTCTCACTGTTTAAGACCCAACCTCTTCAGTCAGAGTCCCCCACTCTGGATTCCTTCAACCTCTGACAAAACGACAGAAAGCTGTTTTTTTCTTGGACTCATTAGTCATGCTATTGTCACCCCTCCACAGCATAGTCCACAACCCTGTGAGGCATATATCCCCACTGAATGATACCATTCCAAGTCTCACCTATCAGAAATATTCTCTACTTCCTTCGTCCTCCCATTTAACATTATACATTTTCCGTGTGACTTTTTATAGTCTGATGTGTATTGTGCACAGTCGACTTTCATTATCTGCGGTAGTTATGTTCTAATAAAGTCACCATGAACACTAAAGTGGCTAACTGAACCAGTGTTCCTAGAGAAATGCAGGGTTAGGTTGCTATGAGCCTCTGGTCATACCATTTTTGTTAACCGATCAATATATAATTTTGTTTTATGCATGATTCTGTTAAAGACATCTCACATATACCGTTGATGCATTAACATTGAACTCTTGGCCTACAGCACTATGTTAATCCCTAACCAAAGCTTATCTAGCATGTGTCTTTTCTCTGTAAGGCACAGCACAGCCTTCCTGTGCCAAGGAACACTAAGTAGTACTTCAGCACTACGTTCGAGGGCCATGTTAAGCAATGAAAGAACCAACAAAAAGAACAAGAATGAGAAAATGTGACACAAAATAAACCATAAAAAGGACATTTTTTATAGTCTGAGAGCCAAATCGAGGAGGCAAGGACTTATTGGACCTCAACTGGGAACAAGCATATAAGGTGACTCAAGTTGTTCACTGCATGTTCACAAATGACTTTAGGTGGCACTAGTATTGATTTTGGTGTGACAAATACACCTTCGTGAGTAGGCAAATTCACAAACATGGAGTCCACAAATGATAAGGATAGACTATATAGGTCCCCCTCATTGTACTGTGAGTCTTTAATAGTAGCAAGGATCATTTTTTTATTTCCTCATAGTATATAACAAAGTGCCTTGCAGAAAGAAAGTGAGCATCAAAATTAAATTACAAGGAACTAAAGGTGTCATGTTAATTGTACAACTAAACTCTATTTAAAAACGTCCCCTTCCAATAGACAAAAATCATTTGTGAAATACCTGTGATCCATGATCGAAGCTAGATGTTTTTGTATAGATTGTTTTCATTTAACCCTGAAAACAACATTGCAATGTCTATGAGGTAGGAACCATCATCCATATTTTACAGGTGAGTATAATGAGAATTAGTAACTCACTTTTAGAGACAGAGCTTTTAGAGTTATAAGAAATATTTTAGAGGTCATCTGGTTCAACTTTGTCATTTTACAGATGAAGGAAGAAAAAGGAAGCACAGAAAAGTTTGAGAACTTGCTCAATGTCATTCCTGATTGTCAAAGCGGACACAAACACAAAGCTTTTACCCCTAAATTTCTCCTACTCCTAAGTATCTCTAAGTATCTTGGCCTTCACCACACTTTTATTTTATCAGTCATTGACTTAAAATATCCTTAGTGATAGAATGAATAACCTCTGGTATGTAAGCAACTAGTGCCAGAATGATTTGACCTAAAAATTCCTTTTTGGTCAAATGGCCCATTTGGACCACAGATAATATGCTATTCAAATAACATCATGCCAATTCTATTATATCATGGCATTTAATCTGCTATTAATACATTTAACATAGATTGTTAAGCCATCTACCAGTTCCCTTTGTGAACTCTACCATCGTTTTACCAGAGTGAGTGAGACTTTAGAAAAATAAATGTTTGGACTATCATTATTTAAAGAAAAATGTTGGTAGTTTTAAGATATCATTAAGATTATCCCGGGGCGCCTGGGTGGCGCAGTCGGTTAAGCGTCCGACTTCAGCCAGGTCACGATCTCGCGGTCCGGGAGTTCGAGCCCCGCGTCAGGCTCTGGGCTGATGGCTCAGAGCCTGGAGCCTGTTTCGGATTCTGTGTCTCCCTCTCTCTCTGCCCCTCCCCCGTTCATGCTCTGTCTCTCTCTGTCCCCAAAAAAATAAATAAACGTTGAAAAAAAAAATTAAAAAAAAAAAAAGATTATCCCTTAGTTCATTAACACAGTTATCCCATACTGTATGTAGACAATGCATTATTTTGTTAATATCAACAGAAAGTTAGTTTGCAGATGACACAGAAATGAAAATTACTTGTGGATTATAGTCTATAGTATAATTAGATGGTTATGTGTTCCTGGATGCACTAGACCTTCTACAATGACAAGGACATTGCCAATTTCAGACATAAACTTATCATCAGTCTAAACTTAATACAGTAGAATGAATCAAGTTAAAATATGGCTGGAGGTAAGATAACTTGTGCAGTGACAACTTAGAACAAATTAAGGGAGCTCTGCATATAAAGGATACAAATTCAGAGTGATTTCCTTACCGAGAGTAATCAGAACTGAACTATTTTCACTATTTTCATTTTATTATATTTTTACCACGATTTTATTCCTTTCCATTTCTTGGAAAATAGTTCTGCCAAATGATTTTTGCATGCAAAATTAGGAATTTCAAGTGAATCCTTGAAAAACATCGGAAAAGAAATTAAATTTAATTCACAGTGTACTTTCTATCAGGAAGAAGGGGATGACAAATAGTTAAAAATTTCTTTGGAGACTAAGAATCTTGCGGCTCCAGAGCTGTCACACCATGTCCCGCAACAATTTCCTATTTACTTAGAAGTATTGGATGATTTTGCAAATCAAAAATTCTGTGGTTCATTTTCTTTTCTTAAGCCAAAATTGTGTTAGCTACATCTTCCTCATTAACATCAATATTTACCCATAGTGGCAACTTGCTGAGTCTACTCTTAATATATCCCATTGCATTTAATTGTAATGTGCTTATATTTAATATATTTTATTTCAATAAACTGGCAAATGCTATGTGGCTTCCTTGAGAGTGTGCCAGTCACATTTAGCTGGGGAACCCAGCGAACAAAATTCTCAGTATTTTATATATATAAATGACATTCAGAGATATGTATGTTTTTGGAAGACAGGAACATTCCACCATAGACCTTCGAAGAAAATGACAAGAGTTTAGAAACAACTTCAATGTGCTGGCGCATTTTGGATTTGAATTTTGAGTACTAGGTAGTTCAACTCCCATTCCACCAAGATAAATATTATGAGAAAAAGATCAGAAGAACTGGATTTTATACACGACTTTGGAATCCAAATTCTTAGGTTACTCCTTAATATACTTAAGTTAAAAGAAATCTCCAGTCATTTTCATCTCTTTATGAGATTGTTTAAGAGTGATTTCATCCCAGGTGCTTACCTCTCAGAGAAAATCAATGTCAATTAACAGAAGCCCAAAGTCTTGAAAATTTTTAATGAAAAAAATTAAAAACAATACGCATGAGCTGGTAAAGATTATTTTTGTTTTGACTGATACCTGAGAATTCAGCCTATTCAACTCGGATTGAGAAGTTTGAATAATTTGCTGTAGAGTCTCTTTCTCTTGATTAAGTCTTTCACGGTCTGATCGTTCTTTTTTGAAGTCTTCTTCATATATTTGCACCTAGGAAATATTGATTTACTGTTACTGTGAGCATCCTTTTATCCTAAGTCATTGTAAATGAACTTCAGAAGAGGTACTATCTGGGTTTGTCCTATCTGAATAATCCCTATCCTCTTCATGAATATTTTTTCATGGTGAGACTCTATTCTAATGAATATAGCCAAAATTTCATCTCTTGCTTTGTTTAGAATGGTAGTTCTCAACTTTTTCCTCCTTGAGTATGTGTCAGGAATTCAGAACTAAGGTAACAGCACAGATATTTTGGAAAAACAATTCCCCTCACCCATTATCCTCACCCATTGTCCTCACCCATTATTCTGCTGCACATTTCCTTATTGTGATGAGCCCCGCCCCCCAGGGTTAAGTGTCACTATCCTGGAGCAAGTCACCCATCCCTAACACAAGGCTTTGATGTATCAAGGGTGCTTGAAGTTCTAAAAGACAGTTTACTGACAATAGCTGTTAAGTGAAGCCAGTAAATATTGGCATGCTAGGTTCCAAATATAACAATAAGTTGAACACAAGATAGAAACGAAAGGCTCATGGATGTGGAAAAACAAAATGATTGTTAAAAGGTATTCACAATTTGCCCCAGTAATTTTGGGGGTATATCATTAAAAACAAACAAACAAGCATAGTAATATTTTAGTGGAGTGCCTCTCATGAAATACTCCAAATACTCCAGAAAAGCAATCAAACCAAAAGAAAAACAGATTTAATCATTATTGTTTTTAATTGGCATAGTGTCGACTGATGGCTTGGAGGCTAGTATATGGAACTATGAAAATAAATGAGGCTTAGGGAATGAGTTCCTTTAAGACAAGGATTTAAAGTACAACTTACATGGGAACTTAGTAGCTAGATTTCTGTCTATTGGTACTAATGCACACTGCACCTTCACCCCCAATAATGCAGCACATTTTAACTAGAGGATGATTAAAGTTAATAATAATAGAACAGAATATAATAGGCAAGAGAGGATGAAATCAAACATTGTATATATATCTAGATGAAGATATACACATTTAATTTTGAAGGTTTTATTCACCAGAAGCATTGCAAGGGAACTACACCCAGCTAAGCTGACATTTTGTTTTGGTTTTGGTTTTAGTTAAGGGCTGAGGCTCATTTCCAGACAGAGTCAAACCAATGCTCTGTAAACAATTACCAGAGGCATTTGAAATGGGAGAAGCTCATCTGATAAAACTGAACACTCTTTATCAAATACAATATGATAGCGTTGTCATCACGTCAGTCAGGTGGCCAAGATTCCAACTCAGTTTCTTTGTGAATTTAACTCCTTTAGTGTATCATGTGACATTCAGTGAAACAGTGATTGTGGCTGAGCATTTAGAAATATGCACAGTTAAAATGTGTATGCATAAAGTTAGCAAAAGAGCCACAGAAAAACTAAGAAGATGGATTCTGGACCTCTTGAGGATAGTGAAAAAAAGGATACCTGCCACTGTCTGCATCCAACATGAGCTAAACCCTTGCTGTGAACTCCATGCATGTGTAAGAGTGACTCACTTGCATGTGGGATACATTACATGAGAGCATCCAAGATGATTCAAGTGTCCGAACATAAGAAGTAGTTTTTTTTCAGAGGAATCCTGGCTAGTGCCAATGGTACTTTAGGAGTTGAGAATTTGGCAGAGTTTTAATACTCTTACTCTCTTCATAGGCTTATTTTAAACCATGCATTTGAAGCTAAATGTAATGAGGCAGATTATTCAAATGGGGTTGACAGAAGAAAAAAATTCAACTTTAACATCAGCTTCTCTGAATTTTTTACATTTACAGATAGGTTACTTCCTATGAAGTAATAACAATACACAGCAACAACAATAATACAATTGCTTAATTCTTTGGTGTGTTGCATCAAAAGTCCTTGTAAATGGCCTTGCTCAGAGCAAAACAGTCAACAAATCAGTTCCAGGGACATACTTCCCAGCCCTTTGTTCCATAACATCCTCTCCCCCACTGCTAATATATTACTGACAATGCGTGCTTCAGAGATTAGAATTCCTGCATGTATCCTATATTTATTGACATCGCCATGAACTGTCCCAGCTCTTTACCTTCATTAGTTTATTTAACCTTCTACAGGAAAAGAGATGTGTTATGCATGGGTGGCCCCTCGGCTAAGCTAGCTCCAGCTGGCTGAACTAAATTTAGACCCAGATAGGTCAGGCAGTGCCCACAGCCCTATGTTGCTGATATATATAGAAGCTTAGAGAAAGCCTCCTTTACTCTTCTGTCTACTTGGTGACATGGAGTGAGGTTGGGTGAGTGGGGAAGAGGAAGGAGAAGTGCATCAATAAATTGCTAGGTGGTGCCATCCATACGTGGCAGTAGATGAGCAGATCTGGCTCTTCAGAGATTATGATCACTGCACAGTATTTCCCTTTAAAACTGTCCTCATTGTTCAAAGGCCTGGAAACCAGCGGCTACGGAGTAACAGCGTGGCTGCTACCATTTGCTGAAAAGGTCCAGGGTTTGGGTTAATAGTGTTTTCAAAATAAATCATGTCTACATGAAGTTCTCTGGACCAGTGCTAATTAAATCTCACCAAAAAGGTTAATTAGTAAGTCCTTCTTTTAACCGTATGATCTTGGACAAGCCATTCAACCCATTTGAAATTTAATTCCCTCTTTCATAAAGTGGAAGTTGGGCTAGCCGATGTATATTCTCTTATTAAGCTTTAAAATTACATAATTCTAATGAAAATAAATGCAATAATTTTGGACACATTTTGAATAGGAAGACTTCCAAAACCATCCAAAGGAGCATGAACAATGGGCCCTGTGTTCTCCACATGATCATGTCACTTTCCACTTCTCACCTGCTGTTTGAGAACTTCCATTTCTGTTCTCATCTCCTTATGTCTGCACTCCAGTTCAGATTTTCCCAAACAATCCTCCGGAAATGAAGAACACTCGATTTTCAAGGCATCTTGAAGAGCCTAGGTTATAAGATAAGCACACCGTTGAACTGAGAGTTACCACATCTTATGAATTCTTCTATGATTATTAGAATTATCTCAAATGCCCCCCCCCACAAGAAAGAACTCCATTTTGATGCCCCTTTTATGACTGAATTACTTTTCTTCCTTCTCATTTTCTAGCATATGATTTTTTTTTTTCAGAATCTGTCTTTTCTCCATGATGATGCTTATGTTATTCAACTGTCATTGTTATTAAGGAGGGCTTCCGATACTGATGTCAGGGATGTCCTGCTCCACCAAGCCAACCATGAAAAGAAAACATATCAATAGCCCTTTTTCAGATTTCCTGCTTCAATCAAAAGCAGACTCTATCAATAATGTTCAAACATTAGAGTATCAGAATCAGCTGGAGAGGTAGCAAATCCTTGGGCACCTTCTCCAGAGATCCTGAAACAGTTGATCTAAGGAGATGGTCTAAGAATCTGCAATCCTCAAAAGCTGACGCTGCTGGTTCCAGATGACATTTTGAGTGATACTATTTTCTACAGCCCTGCTCCCAATGGGAGAGAAGAAAACCCACAGAAATGTGAACCTGTGCAGATCACTATTCCTTAGATCTATTGTACTGTCCTCCTCAGTATACCATGCCCTGGCTTAGCCACAGTCATATTTATTCTCCAATAAAACATGCATGAACTCACTACAGGGTGTAGAGAAGCTCTGCTTTCTTGACATTCAGTACAACTTATTGGTTTACTGTGGGGTGAGGAGATGAAGGAAACAAGAGTCTCTTAGACAACCATCATTATTCACTAGACCATAATACCTTACATATCCTATACTTTGTCAGATCATATAGAATACATTCTCTCTATCCTGAAGACCTTGGTTCATGATCGAGTTCAATAAAATGGCCGCCAAAATTAAGACACAACACACCTCATCCTGGTGTGGTCTCAGCGCCCACATACGATATGACTACTTGCTCATTATCAAATGATCCCTTTATACAAACAGAAAAGTTTCGCTTTCAGAACTCCAAGACTTCACTTCCTCTGAATTTCTTTAGTAGCTTCAGTGACGTTCATTCAGTGGTACTATTTGTAACTTACTTTCCTGCATTACTGTACAATATGATCATAAAAGTAGGAAAAACAAAACAAAGTTATGGTCTTAAATATTGTAGGCAGGCTAGGAATTTCCTAATAGAATGTGTTTATAGTCTATGGATACTGTCTAGCCTAATGTATCATTTTTCATGAAGTTGCAAGAGAAACAAGAACTTTTTTCTTCCTCCAAGAAGAATTTAAAGAAACAATAAAAGTTGTTTCATAATTTATGTTTTGTTAGAACTTGTTGTAAAGCTACATGATTTTAAGAAGTAGTATATTAGTTACAATTTTTAAAAGTGGAGAAAATCTAGGATGGGGTGAGCCAAATGAGTTAAAGACAATCAACTATGCTGATTTCATATTCTACACCTATGAACAGACTATTTTTGTGGGTGTTGTTATATTTGAATTTCCTGGTCTACCTTTCATGCTATTCAGGCTTCTAGAAAATTTTCAAATGAGTCATAACTGAAAGGTAAGTTTAATAGACATTTATTCCATCTTGAGGTTTTTTAACTTCCTTGAACAAATACCTGTAACCTATTCCAGAATAGTAATTTACTATCAGCACAGGCATACTAAACAGATCTACCCATCTCACAATGGTGAGATGTTGGACAAATCAATTTTGCCCATGGGTGGCATTGGCTGATGAGCCTCAGGTAATTTCTCTCGCTTTGGTTAAACATCTGGCTTCTCTTTAAGAACTCAATGAAAACAATGCCCTTGGGTATTTCCTTCAAAGCAAATAAGCCGAATTGAGTACACAGAGTTGTGTGAACTTCTGAAAACCATATGTTAATTACTAAGCTGATATGCTACAAATTTCTGCTGTGGTGAATGGGTCAGCAGGGGGTCTGCTAGTGCAAGCAGGGTGGGCCCTGAATTCCAGCTGTGATGGAGGGTGTGCAAAATCAACTACCCAAATGAACGTTTTAAGTAACTTTTATTTATTCCTGTGCTAAGAGAAGAAACAATCCACAGTGTATGTATGAATAGTAATTGCTTACGTTTCATTAGATACTAATACATTCACTAAATGAGAAAAAAACCTTTCATAGCTCATCACTTTCTATCTATGCTTTTTAAATGATATTTTAAGGTATAGATGTAGTTCTGGAAGTACAGCTGGCTTAAAGTATCCTTTTATTACTTTTTTTTCACTACTCATAAGTAATGTGTTATGCCTGCTAAAGCATGAATCTTGGGGGGGCGCCTGGGTGGCTCAGTCGGTTAAGCATCCGACTTCAGCTCAGGTCATGATCTCACGGCTCGTGAGTTCGAGCCCCGTGTCGGGCTCTGTGCTGACAGCTCAGAGCCTGGAGCCTGTTTCAGATTCTGTGTCTCCCTCTCTCTCTCTGACCCTCCCCAGTTCATGCTCTGTCTCTCTCTGTCTCAAAAGTAAATAAACGTTAAAAAAAAAATTAAAACAAAAAAAAAAAGCATGAATATTGGGGCCAGAATTGGCTACGGAACATATTATGTGCCAGCTAAATTATTTAATTAATTTATCCATTCAATAAATATTTAAGAACATACTGTGAGCAATGCCCTATTGTTGGCATCCAGAACACAGGAATGAAAAAATTAGAAAAACTTAGGCTACATTATGTTGTATTTGTGAGTCCATTCCTCCAAATAAATGCATATTAAAATTATGTTTCCTACTTACATTCTTACAAAGATGAATATATTTCATATTAATATGAAAATGTTTTTTTGACTTAAAGGTCCATTTTTTTTCAGATTTTGAGAGAAATTAAACATATTAATAGGCCACTAAAAGTATTATGAGCCCTCAATACTGTGCCTACTATGCCAAATAGAGAAGTCGATTGTGCAGTCCTACCCTCATGGAGCTTACAATCAAGATTGGGAGACAGGAAACAAATGGGGTAATTAATATGAGACATTAAATATATATCAGATAGCAATAAATTCCAATGAAACAAAATAGGAATATCAGAGACAGAATATGTAATTTTAATTAGGGTAGCCAGAAAAATCCTCTTTGAGAAGGTGACATTTGCATAAAGGCCTGAATTTTACTCAAATTAATTTCTCTCATTTTCTCAATTTTATTATAATCACAAGAGTTAAAAATATTTTACTAACTTTGAAAATATTAGACTATAAATACAGAGACACAAAAATTAAGGGTACACATAGGAGCAAAAAACGGAGTTCATGGCTGTTCTAATTTCTATAGGGTGTATATTCTTGTGTCAACATTTACAGAAATGAATTAGAGAGCAGAAGAAAACTTATCAAATAACATATCACAGATGGGAAAGATTTCAAGCATAATCCCAACATTAGTTCCTCTAATTCATCTGTGGAGGATTTCCAACAGAGGATAAAAGGGAAAATTTATTTGCTCTAAATTTGTATCTCTGAACACTGTTTCCTCTCATAGAGGATAGAGAAGTGCATTGTTTATGATGTTAGTCTCTACTTTCCCATTTTCTCCTGACCAGTAACTTGCCCCACAAACAGATCAAATGCAGCATCACATTTGTAAAGCATTCTGTCAACCATACAGGCACATACTCAACCCTTTGGGGATCTTTAAATGATCCTCTGAACACTAAAATATACACAGTCCGAAAAGCACAGGCACTGACCACTTTTTCAAGGCCAATCACCCACTCTTGTTTTGGAAGTCAATTTCTATTACTTAGGTCAAGAGATATCTAACTTGAGAGATGAATATCTTGACTCAAACATGTACTACCAGTGCTCCTATGGTCCACATCTGATGTGGCCCTTTGAAAAATCAACAGCAAAGGATTTAATTGCTAACTTGAATAAGTGAGCAATCCCTTCCCCAGGGAAATTAAGCTATCCGTCCATAAAACTCTCTCTCTCTCTCTCTCTCTCTCTCTCTCTCTCTCTCTCACACACACACACACACACACACACACACACACACACACACACACACACAAATGCACAGATTCTCCAGAGTCATCCTTTGGCAGCACTCCACAGGTAGCCCCTTCGAATAGTTAAGTTGAAGCCAAGGCACTTAACCACTTGTGTTTTTCTAACACACCTACCTCCATTCCTCCCCCCCATCCCCCAGACCCCACACCCTAATTAAAAATGAGTTTTAGGCTTCTTCTCTGGAAGGCCACCATATCAGCCTTGGGGCTGGCCTTTAGCATGATTCCATACAGTCTGCATCATACCCAGCTCCATAGTGATGATTTTAAAGAGCAGCCTGTTTCCTCAGGAAACTTTTGTGGTTGACCAAGAGATATGCTATTGTTCCCAAACACCCACTTGCTTTACGTGGTTCTTTGAACTAAAAAAAAAAAAAAAAAAAAAAAGTTCTTACTGTCTTCTGAAGTTACTCCTCATTTCTCTTTTTCATGATGATTTTTTGCAGGGACATGTATTCCTTAAGGCCTTGGCTGAAAGATGCAGCTACGAGTGACTTATAAAATTACAGAGAAACTCCTGTGCAGGCTCCCAAGACCAGGAGCTGTACTGCTGCACAGATTGTGTTGTGACTCTCAGTTAGGAATGTGCTCTTTCTACAGGGACCTTTCCTTCCAGCTCCCCAGATTGACCTGGACTGGTACCTTATTGAGGCGCTTTATTTCACATTCATACTGTTCCTTCTTCTTGCTCGCAAGAGTGTTTTTTTCCTTCAAAAGCTTATTTTCTTTCTTCAATTCATGTAATTCTTCACTTAGGCTCTCCTTTTCCTTCTGAAATAAACAGCAAGAAAACAAAACCGAAATCAATAAAATTCAGATGAGATAATGTTGTAGGAATACTTCTGAAATACAATAAAAACAGAACCTGCTAGATTTTCACTTAACGTTCCTTAAAATTTTTTTTTTTTTATATTTATGTACTTTTGAGCGAGAGAGAGAGAGAGACAGAGCATAAGAAGGGGACGGACAGAGAGAGAGGGAGACACAGAATCTGAAGCAGGCTCCAGGCTCTGAGCTGTCAGCACAGAGCTCAAGGAGGGGCTCCAACTCATGAACCGAACTGTGAGAGCATAACCTGAGCAGAAGTTGGATGTTTAACCAATTGAGCCACCCAGGCACCCCTTGACATTCCATTTAAGCAATATTCTTTGGTTGGAGGACAGGGTTCAGATAGAAAAAAATCTTTCTCTACTTCTTAGTGCTACTAAGTAAGTTTCATGACCCCAGAAAAAGCTCAAAATCCTCAGTCCTCACTTTCAAGGGTCAAATGGGTTCAGAGAATAAGCAAGTTCCCATGTACTGTTACAGAGTGATGGCTAAGCAATTTAGTAAAAGTAAGTAAAGTTCTACAAAGAAAAAAAAAGTATGATTGCAATAAAAAATATGAAATATCTCAAAGACCAATCCTGCCTGCATCATTCTGAACTGGAGGGAGAAGAGGATAAAACCTCAGGCAAATAAGACCCTTCACTACAGATAATTACTCAGAGCACTGTATTGTTGTGTTCATTGCTTTGAAAAGGGAGAGATCAACAAGTCCAAGTGCCATCACTCCTCCATGTTTCCGATTACCTTCAAGAAGTCCTCTGTTTTACATAACTGAAGCAAGGTTAGTTGACAATATCTATCTTTTAATTCTTAATTTTATATTTTAGATAGTAAATTTTTTGTGGAGTGAATTGCATTTTTTTTTAAGTTTTATTTATTTTTAAAGAAGGAGGGGCGCCTGGGTAGCTCAGTCAGTTAAGCGTCCGACTTGGGCTCAGGTCAGGATCTCACAGCCCGTGAGTTCCAGCCCCTCGACGAGCTCTGTGCTGACAGCTCAGAGCCTGGAGCCTGTTTCAGATTCTGTGTCTCCCTCTCTCTCTGCTCCTCCCCTGTTCATGCTCTGTCTCTCTCTGTCTCAAAAATAAACGTTAAAAAAAAAAATTTAAAAAAAAAAAAGGAGAGCAAGCTCACGTGAGCCTGGTGGGGAGGGGCAGAGAGAGCGAGAGAGAGAGAGAATCCCGAGCAGAAACCACGCTGTCAACACAGAGCCCGATGTGGGGTCAATCCCACCAAACTTGAGATCATCACCTGAGCTGAAATCAAGAGTCAGACACTTAATGACTGAACCACCCAGGCACTCCTGGAATGAACTGAATTCTTAATGGCACTGAAACTTTAACCTAATAAAACAAACATCCCGGAATTTAAGTAAATCAAGATGAGAAAATAGCTAACACACATGTTAGAATATGTTGTTTTAGTAATTAATATTTCCCAAAACAATAATTAGATTTAAGATATCTATGTGGGGTGCCTGAGTGGTTTAGTCTGTTAAGCATCCAACTTCAGCTCAGGTCATGATCTCACCATTTCTGAGTTCAAGCCCCCTGTAGGGTTCTGTGTTGACAGTTCAGAGCCTGGAGCCTGCTTCAGATTCCGTCTCCCTCTCTCTCTGCCCTTCCCCACGTTCACCATCTCTCTCTCTCTCTCAAAAATAAATAAATGTTAAAAAGTTTTTTAGGGGCGCCTGGGTGGCGCAGTCGGTTAAGCGTCCGACTTCAGCCAGGTCACGATCTCGCGGTCCGTGAGTTCGAGCCCCGCGTCGGGCTCTGGGCTGATGGCTCGGAGCCTGGAGCCTGTTTCCGATTCTGTGTCTCCCTCTCTCTCTCTGCCCCTCCCCCGTTCATGCTCTGTCTCTCTCTGTCCCAAAAATAAATAAACGTTGAAAAAAAAAAGTTTTTAAAAAAAAGATATCTACGTGATTTTTTTTTTAAATGAAAACATTCCTATTTGCTTTCACTTAAATAGAGTGGGCTTATATACACTTAGAAAATGAGCCAATCATTTTCTAATTTGACATAATCTAAAAGTGACTTCAAATTGTAAATGGTTCCAACTTCATGAGCGAACAATTGTCATGATTCCTGGTCAGGAAAAGGAAGGGACTGCAACAAGGTCAGAAGGGAGTTGCTAAACCTTGTTTGTTTTCCTCTGACTCACTGGGACAGGGAGAACCTTATCGAGGTAAGAAAATCTACACCAACGGCTGTCTGCATTGATTTCAGCTATTGCCTTAAGATTGGTGCACGGGTTAAAATACAGCCAATGCTTCATGATATCTGCCACAAGGCTGAGACTATTTACACTTCTTATTTTTTCTTAACATACATAAAAAAAACGTGCATCCATTAGAGCTTAAGATTTTCCTCCCATTTTGTATAATATCCATTAAGCCCCATAACTAAGAGTAAAACCGAGAGTATTTTAGAAGAAGACTGTCACCTTAATGGCCACCATCTTGTTCTCAGTGGGGATTAATGGAGATTTCAAATTTGGAGGCTGGGTTCAAATCCCATTTTCCCAGGTACTAGGTTGGCAAGCTTGGCAAGTCCTGTAACCTCTTCACATCTCAGCTTTAAAATGGCAAAAATAGGGGGCACCTGGGTGGCTCAGACGGTTTAGGGTGGGGCTCCTGATCTCAGCTCAGGTCATGATCTCCCCATTCCTGGGATTGAGACCCACATCAGGCTTTGTATTGACAGTGCGGAGCCTGCTTGGGATTCTCTTTCTCTCTCCCTGTCTCTCTCTCCCTCCCCCCCTCCCCCCACTCTGCCCACTCACACTGTCTCTGTCTCTCTCAAAATAAATAAGCTAAAAAAAAAAAAATTGCAGAAATACCATTTCCCTCACAGATGGGCTGAGAATGTTAAATGAGATCGTGAAGGTGAGGCAGTTTTTTAAATGTTTTATTTTTTATGATTACAAACGCAATACCTATTTGTAAAACTATGTAAGCTCAAAAGCAGCTGTACAAACACAAGGTAGTGTCCCATTATTATTAACACTCAAAATAAAAACTGTATCTGAGTAAAAGCAAAAGGGTAAATTTAATCTCCTAGGCTGAAATGCTCTAGAAAGATGGCACCAAATCTATTGATCAGCACTCTCTGCGGGTAGAGCCTGGCACACAAAGGCCTGCTCATTTGGACAACAAAGGAGGACGCAAGCTGGGCATCTCCTTCCTTCAGTTCGCAGAGAATCGGCCCGGGGACTTGCGTAACCCATCCGCTCCTACGCACACCAGTCTCCGCCCACCAGTCTCTGCCCACCACTCTCCGCCGAGCGCGCTCAGGCCCCGGGGCCAGGAAGGTCTTCCCCCTGAGCCCCGCCCACCTCCTCGAGCTGCAGCCGCTGGCGGGTCTGGTCGTGCAGCCGGTCGCTCTCTCTCTGACTTTGAAGCCGCTCCTTCTCCCGCGAGCTGAGGAACCTTTCTGCGGCGTCCAGTTTCATTTTCAGCTCTGCGACCTGAGGAAGTCGTATACACAGTGTGGCAGACACCACTTCTGAAATTCACACCCCCTCCCACCCCCGGATTTATTCCCCCACCCCGTGCACGCTGGGACGGACACGCCCCCACTCCTGGGTGGCCCCTAAGAGAGGTTCTATTTCCCACCAGCCTTAGCAAAGGTCAGGACCTGTGCACTTAAGGAAGAGCTTCCCCTACCGGAAAAAGTAAACACCGAAACAGCCTTAAGCCCCTTCCCTCCTTTCTCCAAACCACACCACTTCCGAGAGAATAAAGATTTAGATCTTAGACGGGGACGCTTCTGAGCCTGTCATTCTATTCCTAACTCTCAAAATGTGCCTTGCCTGACCTGAAAAGGGCAGCATGGGGTTAGGGGGTGAGTGAATTTGCCTGGGCCAGAGAAAAACAGACATGGATTTTTAACTCCTCAGTAATCTGCAATGCTTGACGCCCTACGAAATGCCAAGCTAGTTCTCAGAGCGATGACGGTCCAGTAAGAGAGGCCTTAGAAAAGGTTTTATCAAAGATGGGAATTATGCCCACTGTTAACCAAGGGTCTTCACACACCTGCAGGCCGTTCTTCCTGAGCAGCTTACACATTTTCTCTGGGACCATGTTCTTTAAAATTTGGAGACCCCAAAGCTGCCCCAGACTGAATATAACAGGCCTGCTGTAGTGGGAGCATTATCCTGCACTTACTAAATTTAACGCTTCGGTGTATCAAAATGGGGAAGAAGAGGGCAATACTGCTCTGTTACTCACTTGTGGTCAGGTTTCTTAATTCTGAATTATTTAGGGGAATTTACTTTCTCCTTTTCTCTATTTTTGAACGTGGAATAATTTAAATTACAAATTGACTTTGACCTATTAAAAGATATTCTCTCCAAAAAGTTCTTTCTCATCAAAGCAAAAGATTCTTGACAGAGAATATGCTGTAGGGGGAAGAGGGAATGCCCCACTTCTCCTCACACTGTCACTGTTACCATTGTTCATTTCTTTATCTGTGGAAATAGCTTATGCCAACTAATTAAAGAATTAGAGAAATGGCCTTGTATAAAACAGTATGAACTTTAAGCCATATCCTACCTCACATATAACTTTGTGTATTTATGGCTGCTAGTAACAAATCCAAAACAGGTTATTCCATGAGCTATGATGAATGTGCATAAGAACTCTAGAGACATCGCCAGAGGCTAAAGGCTATTTTTAGTACCTTTTTTTTTTTTTTGTCATGCTCAAGATAATTCACTGATATCCTTCACTAATCTTCAGTACCAAGAGACCAATAATGCACTCAGCACCTTCTCCCGACCCCCCCCCCCCCCCCCATCATTTTTTCAACAGTTGGCTAGCCACATGTCTCCTTCAGCTGAAACCAGTGAGAATCTTCACAGACTTGGTCCCCCAGCTTACTGATCTAAAGCAAATACTAAACAGAGATGTGTTTACCTTTCGTTCATATAACTCTTTCATACTTCTAAATTGCTGATCCCATTGCTGGTTAACTTCCAGGAGCTGAAATTATTAAAATTTGGTGAATCAATATGGATTTCTGCCCATTTGGAAATTTGGCCAAAATGAAATCACTTTTGGGGGGCTAGTAAGATTTACAAGCCACGGTTGAACACAATATTCCTTCCACCAAGTTCTTGTAGGGCTGGGACGATTGAATTGAGCACACTCCGTCTTTTCATAACTGGCTAGCATATGAAAAACCATTTAGCCTTACGTACATCTTGACTAGTCAGCTGAACTGTTATTAGAACTTTCAACTTTGCTTGTTATTTGAAATTTTCATCTTTGTTTAATACAATCAAAATCCAGTAAAACTTTAGGAGTATTGATGGTTTTCTGTAAGATTTATTAATATATGAGGGTCTTTTTCAAACCTTTCATATTTTTCTGTGTGCTTACACTGATTATTATAATTAAATATTTCTTCTAGCTTTTCTAAAGCAGAATTTATATTAACAAATTCCAAATCCCGATAACTTACCATCATGTGCTTGCAATATTGTGCTTTTTAAAATCAACACATGACTTGTAATGTATATGTAATGAATGGATAATGTCACCGTTTTGAAATTATAGATTTTCAAGGAATAATAGTTTTGTCATAAGAATATTTAGAAATAATTTAGGCTGCAATTTAGAAGCTTTAAAATTATGTGCTAAATAAAAGGAAGAAAAAAAACTATGTCCTGTGTTTTAGTTTTCTTGTAAGGGAAGCCTGTAACTTCCTACATCAAGAGAAATTCCAACACTTTCAACATGGGACAGAGATTGAGAAGATAGTTACAATGACTAAAAGGAAGCAACATATTCTCCTAATTATAAAACAAAATATCTAATCCAGACACCCAGTCCCTAGGTAAATCTTATGCTGGAAATAGCTATGGGTATTTAGTAGAGACTATATTATATTATTATATAAAGATATCTGTTGGCATTTTAAGGATTAACATTTCTATGCCATGGTAACATTACCCTGTTATAGTTCAATAATTTTCCAGAAGGATACAATATTTTATGTAATATCAAAGAGGAGTAGAAGGCACCATACAGAAGAACATGAAGGATAAAACATATACAATGGTTGAGGAAACTAATTTAAAATTTGACAACATACACAGTGTTAACATTGTTACACTTTTCACTTCTTCATCTTCAAGAAGAATAAAGAGGTTCTAACATTCATTAAACTCAGAAAAACAGAACTCATAATAATATCCATCACATTCCTAATGGCATTTTATAAACAACAAAAAAATTTTTTTTCAATAATGCTCCTTAACCCCTATGTGGCTGGATACCCAGTTCATGAAATCATAGCACCTAAGTCAATTACACCTAAAGCCTTTGACAGTTTGAGTTTCAAGGTATATCAAGTTGCAAGGCATAAGGCACAGGTGATAAGCTCACATAGTCCATGTGCAGGAAACATCTAAGTTTTGAGAAAAATTAAGATAATTATTAGATTTATGACTTTGTCATTTTTCACTCATTTACACAAACACTGGAAGACTGGGTAAGAGAAATGTAGGTGAATAAGAAAAAAGTACTTCCTCTCAAAATAATGCAGTCCAAAATCCTAGAGATAAATACTGTGACCCAATAACAAAAATAAAAGACTCTAGACTCTATTTTATTCTCAGCATTAACTCATGATACATGTTGCTTCAGCTAATATTTGTAAATTACCTCTTTTCTCTGTTTTTCCAAGCACCTTATCTTTTGTTCAAGAGAACTTGTCAAGTTCTTTCTGCTTGATGATTGATCATGCTTAAAACAAACAAACAAAAACAAAAAAAAAAAAAAAAGAAAGAGAAATTGTGAAACAAAATCTTCTATAAAATAAACAGGAGAAATGTTGTCCTTCACAAACTCTATGCATTTGGCTAACTCTCCTATTGTGATTTATAAAAATATCTTATTCTAGGGGTAACAATCCTCACACCATTATTCCTTCATAGAGACCTGTTGATGAAGAAGCGTTATATTATATTTCAAATTCCTTTATATGAATTAATTAACAAAATAATTCTCTAATAAATTATAAATGTATACATTAGTCAAACAAGAAATTAGGATTTTATGAGTTTGGATTTCAATCCTTTTCCCAAAAAATGGAAATTCAGAGTATAATGCTTATGGAAATCAGGTAAGTTTCATGAATACATTTTGGGTATTTACATAGTAATAAACATTTCTAAAATGTCATTTCTGTAGACATGTCCATATCTGAAGAGTGGCCTGACAAAAGTCAGAGGAATGACAGAATCATCAAGAAAAACAGACAAAGACATAAAATTAAAAGGCAGCAAATCCATTCTAAGACTGTAATGAACTAGCTACCTCAGTGTCCTTCATAAAATTATGTTATACAGAGATTGACATAGATTATCTGGTATTGTGCAATTTTAACCAGCCCTTTGAATAAAGCCAGTAGGTTATAAGTTTAAATAATAAATCATTGGCACAATGAAAAAGTTAACCACCTTTCTTTTCAGTTTTTTTTCCCCCCTCAGTGTTGGGGGTATTTATTTAAAGAAAGCACAAATGCTCTGGAAACTGTGGGCCATCTGTCTAAATGGACCACCAACAAAGCTCACTTAAGTGCTGTTTTCTCTATAGTAACTCAATAGTCTTGTTACCATCTCATCTCTGAGTCATATAAACAGTACAACAAATCTGGTGATGAGGGTAGTCCTAAATCTGCTACTTAGTTTCAAGCTCAATAGTTATGGAAATTAATTAAAGATATTCATGAACAATTAAATATTTTCAAAACATGTTGGCTTTTGCCAATAGCACTTACAGGGAGTGTTCTTTTACAATCATCATGGGGTTTCAAGGGCTTTTTTCATTAGAAATGATTTATAAAACTATTTTTCTATCTTTTCTCTGCTTACCTATGACTCACTCAATATTTTAGCGCTGGATCATATGCTACATCTTTATAGAAGCTGCCTTTAGTTTTCTTAGCTTCTTCCTAGACCCATGTACAGTTAAGACCTTATTTTATTTTAATTTTTAATTTTTTTTAATGTTTACTTATTTTTGAGACAGAGAGATAGAGCGTGAGTGGGGGAGGGGCAGAAAGAGAGGGAGACAGAATCTGAAGCAGGCTCCAAGCTCTGAGCTGTTGGCACAGAGCCTGATGTGGGGTTTGAACTTAGGAGCTGTGAGATCATGACCTGAGCTGAAGTTGGACACTCAACTGATTGAGCCACCCAGGCGCCCCTAAGACCTCATTTTAAAAGATATTCTTCCATGTGTCTATAAATTCAGAATTATTCTATTTGCTTCCGACCTCAAGAAGCTGGTTTGTCTGAGTTCCAGAAGTAACATCAAAATCAAGGTGACAAATATGTTGGGTCTTAAAATTGGGCTTTCCCTTTTTTAGGAAGTCTAGACTCATTCTGGATCAGAACAGATTGAATATTAGGTACCTTTGATATGGAAAATGCTGTGAGCCAACTGTATGTTGTGTAACCTGAGCTCAGCAAAGCAGAGATACAGTGAGACCAGATTCCAGATCAGTGGTTCTTACTATAAGAACGCATAGAAGTCACTATGGAAGCGTGCAAAATGTAGGGCACCACGAACACTGAAAAAGAATTTCTGAAAAGGGAATCATAGCGCCTCCATTTTTTTTAATAGACTTTATTTTTTTAGAGCAGTTTTAGGTTCACAAGCAAATCTAGCGGAAGGTGACAGAGTTTTCCCATATGCCTTCTACCCCCACACCTACACCTTTATCAACATCTCCCACCAGAGTGTTACATTTGTTACAATTGATGAATAGTTACTGACACATCACCCAAATCCATAGTTTACTTTAGGGTTCATTCTTAGTGTTGTACATTCTGTGAGTTTGAACAAATGTTTAATGACATTATAGTATCATATAGGATAGTTTCACTGCCCTAAAAATCCTCTGTGCTCAGCGTATTTATCCCTTCTCTACTTTAAATAAATTTCAGAGGTTATAGTGATTCACACTAAAGTTCAAGGTTCTCCTATTTCAGACCTTTCTTGGGAACACAGATTTGGGGTCCTTAAAAAGTTCCCTTGCTATTTGTGATAGAGACAAAAAAAATCTGTGTCTAGCAAACATTTGTATGATTTAGCCTTCGGGGAATCCAGATTAAGATTAATTATATACTGTGCATTTTTTTTTTTTTGCCATATATAACTTTCTCTGGAAAGAAATAGTAAAACTTTTGGACTTTGATTTTTTATTTGTAAATAAGAGTTACTGAAAAGCTAGATACTAAATCTGCAAGTGAGAGAGAGAAAGCACAGTAATAAGAATTGTTTAAAAGCCATAAATGTATCACCAGGAGTTTCTCTGGAGATTAATCAACATTTATTTTACTATGGTTCATATGTCTCAGGTATGTATTAAAATGGAACAAAGTCATGGGGCGCCTGGGTGGCGCAGTCGGTTAAGCGTCTGACTTCAGCCAGGTCACGATCTCGCGGTCCGTGAGTTCGAGCCCCGCATCAGGCTCTGGGCTGATGGCTCAGAGCCTGGAGCCTGTTTCGGATTCTGTGTCTCCCTCTCTCTCTGCCCCTCCCCCGTTCATGCTCTGTCTCTCTCTGTCGCAAAAATAAATAAACGTTGAAAAAAAAATAAAATAAAATGGAAAAAAGTCAATCAAACACAAAATTTGGGGAAATTTTTCATCTGTATTTGCTTTGCTTTCCAGTTGCTAATGAAGGTATCTGATGTTTCAATAAACACAAAGATTTTTAGTCATTAGTTCTACTAAGGGCCCCACTTACAGAACAATTATTCCTTATATGGTGCAATGTGTGTTTAAAGTGTCTGGGCATTTCTTTCTCATTTACCATAACACCTGGACCAACTTCTAAGATATTCAAATCCTGACACGCTAAATTAAGTATCTAAAGAACAAAAGAGTTCCCTTAATTTGCTATTATATCTTGGCTTATCTCTAAATAGAACTTTAAGAAAGAACATTCATTCATTCATTCATTCAGTTGGGTAAGTGTTGCAGTAACCAGTAACCAAACAAAAACTATGGTATTCATTGTACATCCATAAATATTTTACTAGGGATACTTTATTGCTATATTGTATTCTATTTCCAACTGTACAAATATTCTTTTTGAAATTTATATTGAACCAAATTTCTTTAAATCAAGAGCAAAATATGGAGCCCACAGAACTGGGGAGCTGTAGGGCCTTTGCACAGGATTTAATCTCACTTTGTAAAAGAAGAAATGGAGCTCAGAGGGATCAAAGAAAATGCAACAGTCACCCAGATACTTTTTCCTCCTTAAATAACATTGATTAAATACAAAGCAAAGGGGTGCCTGGATGGCTCAGTCCGTTGAGCATCCGATTTCAGCTTAGGTCATGATCCCCCTGTTAGTGAGCTTGAGCCCCAGGTCGGGCTCTGTGCTGACAGCTCTGAGCCTGGAGCCTGCTTCAGATTTTATTTCTCCCTCTCCCTCTCTCTCTCTCTCTTTCTCTACCCCTCCCAGGCTTGTGTTCTCTCTCTCTCTCTCTCTCTCTCTCTCTCTGTCAAAAATAAATAAACATTAAAAAAAGTTTAAAAAAATACAGAGCAGCTATTATCTAAAGAAAGCAAAGTAGCCGTTTCTACTCTTATCCATCATTGCATAATTAACCATTAAAAATGCAATTGATGCTATATATGGTCAATTCATCCCCTAAAGATGTATTCTTACCTCTCCGTGCTCCGAAGAACTTTCTGCAGCACTCATTCTAGTTGTGCCCTGTACGCAATATGCCATGGAAGCTGTTTTTCCTGGAGTCTTGGAAGACAGAAGGAAAAAGAGAAAGAAAATGTCTCTTGTGGTATCTTTTAAAGTGAAACCAAATATACAAAATTTTTAAAAGACCGCACTGTTAACTCATGGTGGAAAATCACAGCAATTGTTTTTCATTAAAAGTGAACAGAAGTGACTCTGTATATGAATTACACAGAATAAGGTTATAAGCACAGCATCTGTGATTTTAACTTTTCTTCTCTTCCAAATAGGGATTTCCCAGGATGTCTCAAGTAGGCAGGCTGTGACTAAGGGAGAGGCCGATTAGCCTCACTATGGTATGTAAATTGTCATTCTTCCTTTACTGGCAGTTTCTCCCACTGGAGGAGGAAGTTACCACAGAAAGCCTGGGCAAACCAAGTCTTTCCTCAGTAGCCAGACTGCCATAACTTCATTGTATTTCCCAGAGAGTTAGGTAACTATTGACTTTTTGACAACTAGGTTACTTGCTTCCCTGAAGGCAAGATTTTCTGGCAATGCCTTCTAACTGTGAGCTTAGCTGTGTGGAACTTAATGAGTCATACGTAATTCTGTACGTGCTACTAATTCCTATGGAACTAAAAGAGAAAATTCATTAGAGCAAAAATGGGCATTGTTTGGAAAGCTAATGTTTTATATTGGCAGAAAGTTTAAACTTGGTTCTCAAGTTTAAGACTGTCTTGATGATAGTTTGTTAAGTCCAGATTTCTCGATGATCCATTTGCGGTTCAATCTTTTGTTTTTTTTGGCACTAATATTTTAGTGTTCATGAGTTGACTCCTACGGTATTGAGGTAATGAAATACTGCGTAATGCAGATAAAAGTGTGCAAAGATGATGCTTGGAGCTACACAAATGAGTCATGGTAGAACAGAAGACCTCATTCCAGACTTGGAGGAGAGGGACCACAGAAGAGCCAGGAATACAGAAAGAAAAGAATGTGTTGCTGAAGGAAGAAAACAAAGAATTTACAGTCAATTACTTAATTTACATTTTTGTTTACACCTTCCTATGAGATAGCCACTTGTATGCAGGATAAATCCTACAATTCCTGAAATTCAAATTCTTTAAAAGAGAATGATGAGTATCTAAGATGTGGCTGTTGTCTTTTTTTTTTTTTTCCTACTTCATATCTAGCACCACTTTCTAACTCTGCCTGTGATCCAGCCATCCTGAACCCCCTTCATGTCCTGAAACAAGCCATGTACCTACCACCTGCTGCTTTCTCTGGCTGGAACATTCCCCTGTCTGGGCCCCCTCCAACCAGTTGACCTGGGAAATCTGCCTAATGCTTCTCTTACCCCATAACCTTATTTGATCTCCTTTTACCAACCAGAGCCTTTACTTAGCATTTACATAGTGTATTTACACGTTTGTAAGTTCACCTCCGTATCTACAGTACTGTGACACATAGCACATATTCAACACATTCTGCTGAGTGAATAAATTGATGAATATCTACATGCCACATTTACAGACTTTTTGCTGTGTGTGTGTATGTATACATGGTTTTGTTTTTTGCTAGTTTCTTGGTCTGGTTTGGGGGTACCCTTGTGAAATGGAGTGATATTTCCTTAAGGCAATATCCAAAAATGCAGGTGGGAATCAAATTGTTCTGATTTCTAAAAGTAAGAGTTATGACTCACATATGATCTGATTTTAGGGGACATAAGCAGAGATTTCCTGGAGACTGACACTTCATTAACACTAAAACCTGCTCATCCAAAAAGAAAAAGAAAACTCTAACATGAAAATAGTTTCTTCCAGGGGTGCCTGGGTGGCTCAGTTGGTTAGGCGGCTGACTTTGGGTCACGTCGTGATTTCTCAGTCTGTGGGTTCGAGCCCCACGTTGGGCTCTGTACTGACAGCTCGAAGCCTGGAGCCTGCTTCAGATTCTGTGTCTCCCTCTCTCTCTTTGCCCCTCCCCGCTCCCACTCGGTCTCTCTCTCTCCCTTAAAAATAAATGAATATTAAAAAAAATAAAATATTTTCTTCCAAACGCTATCCCCCACAACATAGTTATAGATAGATAGAGATAGAGATAGAGACAGAGATAGAGATAGAGATATATAGATGTAGTTCAAGGTTCCTTTCAGCCTTATCTGTGTATTTGGTAGTAATAACCCAGTGGATATGGTAACATTGACCTAGAAAAGTAGTTGGAAAGATCATTTCTTGACAAAAAGTACAGTGCTTGGCCTTGGTGCCTCTTGGGTCTCCTCTGTACAGTATCCTGATGCATACTCAACTGTTTCAGCACAGTGTGGTGTGATGGCTTCCATTGAATGGAAATCCTATACCATTACATTTTTCATTACAATTCCTTTGTGTCTTCTGCTATGCAGTTTAACAGCAAACAGATTTTCTATTAGCTTCAGAGAGACATGTGGTAATTTATGAATTAACAATAACTCTTCTGGAGAGCCCCAAGTTTGGATTGAGAAAATAGGAGCTTGCACTAGGCCAGTCTTAGAAATAAACTGGACATTTTCTGTTACATATACCCTTCTTACCTCACCTCCAGCCCACTTACATGCACTATGTACTTAAGAGGATGATTCTTAGGGGTACCTGGGTGGCTCAGTTGGTTGAGCATCCAACTCTTGATTTTGGCTCAGGTCATGATCCCATGGTCAGAGGATCAAGCCTTGTGTTGGGCTCCACCCTGAGCATAGGGTCTGCTTGAGATTCGCTCTCTCTCTCTTTCTCTCCCACTCCCCTATTCATGCTCTCTCTTTCTAAAAAAAAAAAAAAAAAAGAGTCTGGCTTTCAGTCAAGCTTTGTTTTGTGAGAAGTCTTACTATCTGCAATAACTCTCAGAGAAAAAGACGTGTTTCCAAGGGGATTCTGAAGAGCCTTCATTTTTCAAGTCACTAAAATATTACGCAGAGAAAAATAATTAACAAAGAGAGATATGGTGAAGAAAAAGGACCAAAGAACTACCAGCCACTAGTTAGTTTGTAACTCTCATCTGAGTTGATGATAATTCTCTCAGAACTAGTCTAAGACAGATCATCACAGTTCTACAAATGCTAGGAGGCATTCTTTATCAGGTAAAATAAACATACCCCCCCTTTTTTTATTATCCTTTTAAAATGAGGGTTGAAAACCTCTTTTGCTTCCTGAATCTATTTGCATGAATTTTTAGGTGAGTGTGTTATCCAGGCAGGACTGAGAACCTTGGCTGGTGACAAAAAAGTCTGACTCTTGACTCAGGTCATCTAGATTCATATGTTGGCTCTCCCATTCACTACCCGTGACATTGGGCATGATGCTTAAGGCCTCTAAGGTGCAACTTCCACATTTGTAAAATGAGAATAGTAATAGTGTCCTTCTCCTAGGGGCCTAATAGTGTCGTCTTGCTACTTGTGAGAACACATATAAAAACTTAGATACTACTGCTAATAATATGATCTTAAAGATAGGGGGACATTGATCAAATTATTTGTGCAATAAATAATATGAAAAAAGGAAAGGACCATCGATCATTTATGTTTCACTTGGCACTGAATGGATGCCAAAGGAAAATAAGCAAAGGTCCCTGCTTCTAATTAAATTAATATGTATACACATAATATATATCCGCTTGCCTGCAAGAATTCAGAGAGAGAGCTCACTCCCAGCCTTAATCCTTATGGAAGGAGCTGTACTTTCTGCTGGGCCTTGAAGGGTGGATTGGATTTTGATAGATGGTAAAAGCTGAGGTATATTGCCATAACGTGAACAACATAAACGGAATGGAAGTGGACAAACCTAAGTATGAAGAATTGTAACAAGCCCACTGTAACTAGAGTAGAGCTCATCTAAAGTTGATTAGGATCAAATTGTGAAAGACTTCAAATTTCACATTAAGAAATTTTGAGATTATTGCATAGGCCAGGGGGAGCCACTGAAGATCCCTGAGAAAAGGAATTTTACATGATTTAAGTAGCATTTTCATAAAAATAGACCTCGATATATGCATTATGTAACAAATGAGTGAGATTGAGAACTGCAATACCACTTCGTAGATATTATCAAAAACAATATTTGAAATATTTAACAGCATGTGGTAATCCAGATATTTAACAATCAGTTCATCTAGGGCACTCAGAATGAATCAGTAAGATTCCTATATTAATTGTCTTCTTGTCATCTCTATCTGAATTTACCTCTTTCTCTGCTTGCGTAAAACCTATTTCCTGATCTTCCCCATAAAACTTGTCTTCCCCATTACAGTCAATGGTGACTTTCATGCTCTATATTACAAATCTTGGAGTTTATATATTTGATTCCTCTTTCTCACGCAACCTGCATCCAATTTATCTGAACATTTTGCAGGCACTTCAAAAGTATACCAGAAAGGAGAGCAACACATTGGCACAAGACCCAATTTAATGAGAGAGTGGCAAGGTGAAATAAACATGCCTTTTAATAACTTTTTCAAAATGAGAACTTTAGGGTTTGTGTCCTGATTTTATTCACATGAAAATTTTTAGAGAGCATCCAATAGGGGCTGAAATCTGACTTCGTGTCACATCCTACCTCTATGTTTACTAGTTATGTGACCTTGGGAAGACGCTTAGCATCTTTGGACTGCTCAAGCCACCTGCATCCCTTACATGGATTATTGCAATAACCTAATAGCCTCTGTGCTTCCACTCTTGCTCCCTTCCTCCATCTATTATCAATATAGTAGCTATTGTGAGTCTTTAAGAACATGTCATTTCATGTCACTTCTCTGCACAAAACCTTTCAGTGACTTCTCATCTCACTCAGAGATGAAAGCAGAACTCTGTAGAGTGTCCCACAAGACCAAATACACTGTAGCCTGTGCTTCTCTGGCCTCTTACTATTCTTCCTTTTGCTCACTCTGCTCTGTGTCCTGTACACACTGCTGCCCCATGAGCCTGTTATGCACACTCCTTGTTCTCTCTGCTTAGAACTTCTTTTTCCTAAGTATCCACATGGCTCATCCCTTCACCTTCAATAGGTGATTGCTTAAATGTCACCTGTTTCTTGAGTTCTTACCTGACCTCCCAATATAAAATTGCTCTCCAACCCAGCGTTTTCTATCTACCTTTCCTTCTGTGTTTTTCCATAGTACTATATATAAGATACTATATATTTTTCTTCTTTGTTGCTCTCCACCATTAGAATGTAAACTTCATTGACAATAATTTTTGTCTCTTGTGTTCATTCCATATTTCTCAAATCTGAAATAATGCCAATTATTTTAGTACCTACTCACATGCACATAATGTTCAGACACACATAATGGCCCCTCCCTACCCAAAAACTAAATCAAGAATATTCCTGAATCAGCTATCTTCTTAAGAGACTATGAAAGATATAAAGATCAGAATTTCAGCTTCTTAGCCTCAAAACTAGTAAATCACCTCTCTTTCAGACCCCAAGCCTGGGCTTGGACTAAGAGAGTTGGGTGAGAGAGGAGTCCCAAATCCTATAACTTCATGGGGGCTAAATGCTTATGTGTCTCCAGCTTGTAACTCTGAAGCAATTTTTTCATGCAGTTTACAAGTGTTGCTTGAAGTCTGTTTCCACTATATACTTTTAGTTTTTAGTGCATCTCAGATACATCTTAGGGCAAATTGACTTTTGCCTACTAGTCTGTAGTCTTTACAAAATTGCAGACTTTATGCAACTTCCATGTCTGAAGATTTCTCAGCACTGCACAAAGTATTAAAGGATCTGAGCCAGTTTGACCATCAGTCCCCCTCTGAAGTCTCCCTTGGCTCTCCAAAGTAGTGTTAGTTACTTCCTCCTTTGTGATCCCAGGGTGCTCTGTGAAGTATCACTTCCAGTATTTACAGTAAAACAGTCATGAATTTTATGTACCTTTCTTTTTGTGAGGCTGTAAGCTTCTTGAAGGTAGTAGACTCAATTTTTATCACTTGAACATTGGGAACTAACATAGTACCTTCAGAGTTCAGAGTAGTGATACTGTTCATTTTTATTGAATGAATCAGTTTATGCATGAATTTTCAGTAGGAAATCATAACACACCTCTGCTTCTCGTAATACAGTTCAGAGGACAACGACCACAGTGATATACAAAGTTATACACTTTGCCTCAAAATCAAAAAAGATCAAGTAGGAATATCAATGTATTTTTTTTAAACTGTTCTATTTCATTCACTTTTTATTCACTTTATTCTCTTTATGTATAAATATTTTACCCTTTCCTATTTTGGTTATATGATCTATCTCTCTATCATTTATCTATATCTTTCTACCTATCCATATCTATGTATCTATATCTATATCTATATCTATATCTATATCTATATCTGTATCATCTATATCTATCTCCATAAAAATCCCCCTTTAATTTTCTCTTACTCTTGATTACTATGTAATAAATAATCAATATAAATAATTGTACAAGCTATGGGGGAACTTTTGTTATTTTTTTAATGTTTATTTATTTATTTATTTTGAGAGAGAAAGAGTGTAAGTGGGGGAGGGGCAGAGAGAGAGGGGAAGAGAGAATCCCAAGCAGGCTCCAAGCTCAGCATGGAGCCAGACCTGGGGCTTGATCTCACTACCATGAGATCACAACCTGAGCCAATATCAAGAGTCAGATACTAAGTGACTGAACCAGCTAGGTGTCCTACTATGCGGGAATTCTTAAAAGGCATAAATGTGATCTTCAGTAATATTTCCTAAATGTGCACAGTGCTTTTTACATCTTAGGAGACAAGTTAATATCTTGAAATATTAACTGATGATCCCTCCAAATGAACACTGCTCTTTGTTTTATGTAACCACTCCTTTGTTTACTTGGTTAATGGTATCTTTTGTCTCCAGCACTGATTAAATTTGCTGTAAATGCAAAGGGAGAAACAGCCCTGTTCAACCTGTCATTTTCAAAATAGACTCTCCAAACTCTGGAGACCAAAACCAACTTTGAAAACCAAAGCTTTGAATTGCAAAAGCTAGTATTTTTTTCCTGAAAATTACGTTAAAAAATTTTAAAGACTAATTCCTTTTGTTCAGTTTATTTTGAGATACCTCAGAAAATAATGTGGATTTTATTTGATTGATCCAAAATCAAATGTGGATTGATAGATGGAAAGAGGGGTGAGTAAGTGGATAGATGTGTGGTAAACAAGTAGAGAAAAACATTGGTGGCAACACTGAGGTTGTGGACATATAGATGTATGTCATAAAATCCTTTCAAGTGGCTATTTATTTGAAACTTTCAGGGCAAAATGTTTGAGAAAAAGTTGTAATCCAGGCATAAATGCCATTAACAATTGATAGAAAAAAATGGTAGATGGTAAGTCAATATAACCTATTCTTTATCTCTTCCCCCCACCCCTCATTGAATAATAGGGAAGGGTTTCATGGCATGAGGGAAACGAGGAAGATCAGAGTAAAAGAGTATCTGGATGGTTTTGAGGGCTCATGAAGAAATGGAGCCCCATTCCCCTACTTCTAGGGACTCATCCATCATGTATCCAATTGCCCATATTGAAAGAGCAGAGACAGCTTTAGCCTCACCCTTGGGTGAAGCCTGGACAAAGGGCAAGTCTTGAAGAGAATTTCTCCATCCCATCATGGTACCTTGCTGAGATTTTGTGGCATGTTTAGGTAGAGAGGTCCTAAGACAGGTCAACCCTAATGTGCTGTGGAAGCAGAACCAGAAATTCACTACCTTCTTGAGAAGAATGTAAAGGTGGTCAATTGAGGAAGATGGAATATTTACCATATGGCCCTGAGGATAGGAGATGAATTGAATTGTATGGAAGCTTGAGTGACTGCAGTGAGGATATAGGTCAATGAAAATACCATAAAGAGTACTTTAGATTAGTCCCAATGGCATCGTGAGATGGCGGATTATTGAAGCCTAAATGTTTTCACCCTAAAGTTGTCAAAAAAAATGCAGGACTTCCAGATAAATATGGATTCCAGATATAGTTTTTGTTTATGTATAACTATGCCCCATCCAATATTTTGTTGTTTGTATGAAATTCAAAGTTAACTGGGTATCCTGTACTTTTATTTGCTACATCTGACAATGCTACTCCACTTAGATTATGTCACAAAATCTGCTTCACAGACCCTAGGTTCCATTATGGTGAGAAGGAGGGAGAGGAGAGAAGTTTTGCAATATAAAATTGCCTGAGAAAACAATAAAATGACTGACATTTCCTGTAGCCAACCAGATTAAATTATCTTCTATGAGATAGGATGGGGGTCCTAGACCAAAGGTAAATTCAGTTTAGAAAAAAAAATTTAAAAAAAATAAATATATATATATATATATATATATATATATATATATATAATATTATATATGTATATATATATGTATATATATATAATGTCACACACATGAGCTCTGTGGTTTGGAACATTTTATTTGCTTTAATTTGAACTACATAACAGCCCTATAAGCTTGTCAGGAAAGGTGTCTTTGATGGTAACAAAGATTAAGTTGAAATTTAGAGATGGTAACTGACTTGAATTTAATCTTTTCTCTTCTCCCTTACCACTCCATATTAATGCAGATTGCTTTATTTTTATCCTACTTAGCTCATGCATTGACCTCAGTTTCATTCATGTATATATTCTTATAACAAATATTTATTGATTATGAACTATGGATTTGGGACTATGCTAAGTACTAAGATATAAAGATGCACAAAACAGACATGTCTTTCACATATTTTCTGTTTTTTGACTATAAATCTGAAGATCAGAGGGACCACTGCATTGATGATGACATTGTTTCTGTGTCATTTCATAATTACCAAGTAATTAACTTGGACATTTTACATAGAAGAGACTACTTTCTTCTTGAGACAATACATTCCAACATCATATACATAGATTTAGGTACAATTCTTAAATAAAAATATAACTAAGTATAATTAAGAAAAAGCATGTGTATATAAAGGATGATGCTGGAATCGGAGGAGCCTGTGGTGACAACTCAGTGGAAACACAGGCGATGCAAAGAGTGTGTATTAGGAAGGTTTTGTCTGAAAATGAGCCTGACTCAAAAGAAAATATGCTAGTCTGAAAAATTGCAAATATTTTCTAATTGCTCTTTAGTGATGAAAAAAAAAGTATTTTAAAAAGTAAAGCTTCCTCACTGAAAGGGAAAAAAAAAAAAGAATTGATCTCAGTTTTTGCTACTTACCCCAGAATCCTGTAGGAAAATACATCTATAAACTTTATGGGTCGAGCCTTATTTTCCCCACAAGTACAATATAAAGTAAAACAAAGTCTTAATACATTTCATCTAGAAGGTAGCCATTATAATGATATGAGCATTCTTCAGTGAGAGCTGACAGTGCCCACTTGGCTAGTACTTTTCCCACACTTGTGAAAAGAAGTTGTGATCAACCAAACTAGAAGTGGGAAGTCTTGCTTGAGAAACAAGGCTTTTGAGACATTGGATTCCAAAATCCAGCCAGGCAGGGTTTAGAAGTCCTTATGAGTGATCTACAAACTGTCACAAAACTAAACAGATCACGAACATAAAGAACACATTTGCTTAACAGCTCTTACGAACATATGACTCACAATACCTCCAAATATTTCACTTCTTTAATACTATCACAAGTTTTCAAATTTCTTAACCCAGAGGCTTATGTTATTCTTCTTGCATAATAAAGAAGACATATCTAAAGTTTTTTTTTTTTTTCAGATTTGCTTGTTGAAATCATACAAGTGTGGGAGGAGACAATCAAAGTCAGAGTAATAATTCTAAAAGAAGGATAACACCTTTGACCTGTTCAGTAGAAACCCTGAGATTCTGAATTCTCTTTCTTCTCTTTGCAGACTCCTGGATACCTTATATTCTTTTAATCAGTTGGAATTATAAAATCAATTATAATTTCCACCCAGTTATCACTCTTCACTCCAAGTCTTGGTGGCTTCCTCCAGCGGCCACCCCGCCTCCACCCCAACTCTCACCCCATCTTGTCATGCTGTTCTTCCAGACCCAAGTGATCAAAACTGGAGCTGCCAGAATTATTATTTTCACTGAGGCAGAAAGAATACTCTTCCACCTATTGCTTCCGTCTTTCAAAGGACAACCTGCATCTTCCAGTTTTCTGTAACTCCCTTTCTTGTGGAACTTGGGGCAAATCCTCCCAGCAATGGAATGAGCAACATTTGAGTAAGGAAAAGAGTGTCCTTCTCAAAAGTGTTTCGGTTTATTGCTTCACTTCTCTTACCCCAAATGGATGCCTCTCAAATGTTAGGGAGAGCTTTTGCCTTCCTTCTTTGGTAAGAGTTAATTCTTGCATCTTAGAGTGCAGTTTTAGCTTACAGACCCGTGTCTCTATTTTCTGTTGTGCCAGGTGATATACTTTACTATAAAATAGAGTTCAAGATGGGCATACACAGCAAGATCTCTGTATCTGGACATGTACCTGATAATCATGCATTGTGGAAGGCTTTAAAAATCCTTGTTATTAATGGAAGAAAGAATAAGTCTTAGACTAGCCATGGAATCAATTTAACTCTGGAAATACTTTTGGGAAACATAACTTGGCTTCTTTACCCACTAACCTGTTTAGTTTTGAAGTTTGATTATACTTTGAGAATTAGAAGACTCAAAACTAATAGCTGCACTTACATATGGAGAAAGATACATGGCTCATGTAAGTGACTTCAGCCAGGTTGCCAACACTGAGCTTCAAGCACAAGGTGTGGCAGCTGAGCTAAGATAGGCCTTCTTGGTGCCTGGGAACATGCAGGCAGAGCTTAGCTAGCCAACTGTGCAGGCATTTCCTAATGAAGACTTAACAAATACTCATGTAACAACACATATTTTTCTGTTAGGAAGAAAAAAAAAGGATTAAAACATTCCAAAGCCATCACTACTGAAATTAGATAATGGGATTCAAAGAAGCTACTCATTATATGAGAAAAATGGAAAAAAAAAATGGAGGGGGTTCAAGGTCACCCTACTACCATAAAAATAATGGTGATGGTGATGGCAATAATGCTATACTTGTTCAGTTTAGCTCTTTATACTTATGAAATGCTTTTACTTTTTCACTCACTTTGTATTCTTATCAGAATCCAATTTACAAATGAGAAAACGAGATTTAGATCATCAAAATTGCATTTTGATAAAGAATACTAGCTTAGCTTTCAAAAAAAGGGAAATAAGGAAGAGGAAATTAGTTTTTTTTTTTTTTTAACAATGTGGTTACAGAAAACGTGTGTCAGCTTACTGTATTTTGCAGGAAGTTTTTCCTTTATTGTCTTTCCAAGTGTCATAAGTTTATATTACTCTCTGAATCATCAAAAGAATTTTCCCAGGGCTTTTTACATTGGATCTAGAATTTGTTCTCAGTTACTGGGAAATCCTCCCTCAACTTGTGCAAAGTTACTAAAAGCCAATTTGGGGTACTGCCTCTCAGTTACAACAAAATAGAATCCAGAGACAAAACAAGTTCTTAAGCAAATTCAATTCTAGTGAATCTTATTAAAATTTGGACAGTTTTCTTTCTCACTCCCAAGTTGCATCCTTGTTTCTAAGAATTACTGGAAATAGGGGTGCCTGCGTGGTTCAGTCAGTTAAGCATCTGACTCTTGATTGTAGCTCAGTCATGATCTCACGTTTCATGAGATACAGCCCCGTGTCAGGCTCCATGCTGATAGTGCAAAGCCTGCTTGGGGGTCTGTCTCTCCCTCTCTGTCTGCCCCTTCCCTCTCTCTCACTCTCTCAAAATAAATAAACTTAAAAAAAAAAAAGAATTATTGGAAATATATTTGTCCAAAAAATACACTTTAATTCTTCTCTCATTTTCTTTTGTATTTAAAGACCTACAATTATAGGGTCCCAAATTAATATTCATATATTAATTTTCTCATAGCATTAGGACCGTGTCTTGGCTTAGTGTAACTCGTACTCAACATGCATTTTGTAATTTGAATATTTTTCTTACTTAGGCAATTGTTTTTCTTTTGTTTACCAGACTTTTGATGCCCTTTGTTTGCCAACCGTCTACTTCAGTGTCCCAGCATGCTCTCATATTGATGGAGTTTCTCATGGTCATCAATGTTTCTCTGTTTCCTCAAAGTACAGTCCCCTTTCCTCAAAGTACAGTCAGTCTGTTCATTTTCTCTTCTAGTAATCCTCCTTCTTATTCTTGGCAAAGGTAGTTGGGCAAAAAGGGAACTTGACATATGTCTCAGGTTCTTTCATTAAAACATGTCCCCTTCATTCAGCAACACTTTTCCCATCTCATAAACTTATAAAGAAATTCATTTTCTGCTCCTGGAAAGGAAGTATACTGTACTATTATTCTTATTGTTATTTCATCCAGTGGAAAGCAAGAGACACCCCCAACTGTCACTCTGTCATTGGCTCACTCTTGTCTTACACCAAAAAGAAATTTTCTTATACTTTTTCCAGTTCTATCAATATCTCAGTGAGAATGTAAAAGTTTTCATTTTGTTTTGAATGTAGAAGTCCCCCTGTAGAGTGCTTTTGGGTAAATAGTAACTCAGCCAAGATTCCAGCTGGAAATTAAACTATGTTTACTCAAGGAGTCAAATATTGGAAGATACTTTCAGACGACAATTGAGAAAGATATGCCTGAAATCTATTGGGATGAAAAAGGACTCCCAGGGGTTGTTTTTGGCAAACTTTACTCATAGAGAGAGTAAAAGCACAAGTTTGTTTGTTTGCTTGCTTTTGTCTTTGTGGAACATTTTATTAGGGAAGGGTCACACATTCTGACTCTGTCTTAGGCCAGAGGATGACAAGAAGGTGCCAGAAGCACTGGGACCCTGATGGAAGCCTCAGATGGAAGCTGTAAGAACCATATCCAAAGGGCTGCTCCTCAGTGCCTCAGTTTCCCCTTCATGATATGGGAGGGTTATGTTCCCTACTGGGTTTGAAACACTGTTTCATAAGATAAAAGTAGGTCAAAAGCTACAAAGAGTTTCTGCACTCCCAGGACCTGCTCTGAAGCTCCTACCTCATACTATGGAGCCAGAAAAAGGGAATTTTCCCAAGAAACCATGTTGCTCACTGGTCCCTGCTGCAGGGGTAGGGGGAGTGCAGCTGTCTCTGAATACCTGGATGCTGGGGCAAGGACAAACGGAGATTCTTGTCTGGACAACATCTTGGTTTTCCAGGAGGGAAAACTGACCTTCCTGAGCCCTCAGGGCAGAGGCAGGGAACCCCAGCCTTGTTCATTCGTCACAGTGGCTTGATCCAAGGAATAGCTTCAAGTCCAGAGAAGAGGGGTTGCTCTGACAACAACATCACTCCTGATAATAGCTTGAGGTATGGCCCAGTTGCCAAATGATTTATGTGAGGGAGAGGGAATTAAGAGCAGGAAGTTCAATTCAGGATATACAGAACTGAGTTTAGGTTCAGAGTCCAATTTCCATTAGACCGTAGGAAAATGATTTAGCCTCATTATTCCCATCTATAGATGGGTAAGGATTGTATATAAATGCTTTTCAAAGTGCTGGCCCAAAGTAATCACTCAGTAGATGGTAGCTAAAACACCCAAAATAGAAAACCATATACATATCTCTGTGAAACACTGGATCTGTAAGGGAGCATTGGGAGCCTGTGTAGCTAAAATTGGGAAAGAAAAAGCCTTCCCACTGAGGTGGAGACAGGAATAGTGTTTAGCTGTATTTGGCACCCTGGAGGCCATATCCCATGCTGGGCATACTTAGTACAGTGAGTGGTGCCATAGCAGTCCCAAGGGTGGTACAGCTGACATCTAGAAGTAGCAGTGATAGGTGAGCACCTGACAACCATTGACAATAATTTAGGAGACCAGAATGGGCAAGAACAAATGGTACTTTCCACACAAAGGATAAGACTCTGGATCTATGAGTATACCTTTGAGATTCCCCCACAAACTTTGAGAATTACTTGTGGATGGACTCTAGAGGCTGAGTGAAAAGCTAGCTTTATCAGGGTTCATGAAATCAAACGTGTTGTTTCATACTGATACCTCCTAGAAAAACCTACTTCATGTGACATTTTATACCTCATTCTCAAGAAGTCTGACTGGTGGGGATGATATATCTATACATAAAGGATTAAACACCCAACATGACAAAGTCTATGAATGACCTATTAGGAAGGTAAATTGTTTAGGACAGAGCAGGAGGGGCTCGAGCCACTCTGTGGGACTAGAGAGAGAGGTTAACGGTACAATGAAAAGTTTGAATTGGCATAACAGACAGTTCACCAAATAGGTGGGGAGGCAAGGGTTTCCATAAAGAATAAACAGCACATGAAAAGGCATAGCATATGAAGCTGCATGGTCTCCTAAGGGATTATGGGGTGGCTAGAGCATAAGTTGCATTTTGGAGAGTGGCAGAATATGTAGAAGACAGCACGACACTGTAAGAAAAATATGCACAGGCTTGGCTTCCTATCTTGAGACTAGAACTTTGCAGCTTCATGAATTTAGGTAACATTTTAAAATTTCTATGAACCTTAGTTTTTTTTTTTATCTGGAAAATGAGGATAGAGATAGCCATATTTAAGTGTTGTTATAGTTATCAAACATAATATAAAACATCTCCATATCTGTTATGGTCATTGACCCACAAATATTAGATTCTATTCCTACTGTTTTATTCTAAATGTAGGCCAGGACTAGACCCTGGAGGATTTTATATATTAAGTCAAGGCATTTGGACTTTATGATGCAGGTCAGGAAGTCTATTTTTAAGTTCTAAGCACTTGAACAGTAGCAACATCTATATTGGTCAATATGAATTAGTGTGGAGCAACGCTTAAGAAGGACAGCCAGTTAGGCATCTTCTGGGGATAGTCTAGCAAGAAATAATATCTGAACCATGATATGGTAGTAAGAATGAAGGAAAAGAAACAAAGTCCAAAGATTTTATGAAGGTAGAAGAGGCAAGAACTTGAGGGTCCAGGGTGAAGGCTGGCCATTATTCTAGGAATGCCTCCTGGAGTTGGGCAGCATGGTAGCCCTGGAGGAATACAGGATTATACTCAAATTTGGATGACTGGGTGAATAATGATCCATTAACTAATGTAGGAAATGTAAGGGGGAAGGAACAAGGAGTTTTAGC